AGTCGCATTGGAAACGACGGGCACATATGGTGAAACAACTGGTCCTTTAATATCACAGATTGGCCGTCGCATTACGGAATTTTCCGGCGAACGTAGAGAGACTCTATGGTTGGAGCAAAGGTTGGGTTTGGCTGTGCAGAGAGGCAATGCAGCTAGCATCCTAACAGCAGTCAGGGAAAAGTTCGACGTGGGCCCGCTCCTCGCTCGCGTCACAGCTCAGTGACCCTCGGAGTCGGTGTAGGCCACCATCAGAGGCGTTAAGGTCGGGGCCCTGATCATTGACATGAAACCATTCCCTGTTTTTAATTAATAAAATCAATTTTTTTTGTTAGAATGGTGAGTGTGGGAGGCCTTTTTAAAAAAAAAGTTACTAAAGTAATCTTTTTTTTTGATCAGCTAGATGGATAAACTTAGGACAGTGTCAAGCGACAATTTAATAAAGAAGTTAATTTTAATGCTGTTGAAAACAAATTTAGTCGCAGCTCAACGACCTCGGGTAACATATGCAAAGCCTAACATTATTCGATTGAATCTCCTCCAATCTGGAATGAGTATTAGGAAGCACTATCACTTCATGCAGGAAGTCAACCACATGATAATAACGTGTGTATTTTAGAAACATATTTCACCTCAGTTCCGTTTCCTTTCAGAAGAAACCATTCTAATTGTTCCCAATACGAATCATTATATTTTTGCAATTTATGTCAAAATAAACAGATCGAGGTAAAAAGGAACTGTCACTTGCCTGATTGTCTGTCAAAATGAAATCAGTTATTGGAACCCTTGTTACGATTGTATATTATTTCTTACTACCCTGTTCAAATTCCGTGCCGAAACCAGCGCCGATCTTGGCCAGATTTAGCCGGCCGGAGCCGTAAAACGATAACCGGCCAATCTCTAGAACAGCGCTGCTCTACTATATAATGCTGCGAAAAACTCCAACAGGCCGGTAGAGCCACAATGCGGTGCTGTTTTGGCGTTACCACATAAGTTGCGCGGCTAAGACTAGCCAAGCGAATATGCAGGTCGTTCATTTCATTGGGGATTTTGCAATTGGGAGTGGGAAGAGTAGCAGGGGGGAGAAATAACTTCATTCTTTATCTTGCCCATGTGACATAATACACTATTATCGGTCCATTTGTCGTGCCAGTTCTTATTTTTATACCACATCATTGCTTTAATTTTTTGAATTACATTAGAATTTTATTTCTTTTTTTCCATTTGAACACTTCCTTGAACACGACCGCTTACGCTCAAATGTACTTTACTAAAAGGATAAATTAATCACTTTGCTCTAAAAAAATTTCTAATCAGAATGCACAAAAAGTCATAACTAATTTTCCTGTGAACCAATTTCCTATCGACTATATACTCTAGCCGTAACGTGTTCTAATAATGCAAATTCGCCTGCATTTTCCCTTGAGGCTATTCCAGTGAATGAAAGTAACGTGAAATAAGTTGCGACATAAATTAAGCTCTTTTATTTGATACCTCCAACTGAACAAATAATGCGAAGTCACACGAACAAGAATGTCGATCGATCTTCATAAATTCGAGGTCGATATAACGAACAGAAATTACATTCCTCTTGCTTGAAATCTTAGTTTCTACTTCGAGACGTTGTAGGAAAGGCATTGCCAAGTGTCGCCTGCCGATTACCACCACTGCCCTGGATTTAATAAGCCATCACGGTTCCTGCCCTTCAGAACGTAGCCTTCAATACTTCTGGACATTCATATCTTGGCCGTGCGTCGAATCAGCCCTCGGTCGAATGACCACTTGTCGAAGGACGATAAATTTTGGAACAGAAGTATGCTATCTGAAACCTAACCTCAGATGCGGTGAACGTAAAATTACGTCATTTTACGATGTCCGGAAACCATATGCGATCCACGGCCTGGTGGTGCACGGCAGATTTTATGCAAGGCCGGAGGAGGACAAAGCCAAGTGGTTCACGGCTGATTGATGGATGTCCGGAGAGATCCAAGGCGTTCGATTCAGGGCTTATTGGTGCACAAAATTGGTGATGCACGGCTGCGCTCCCCATTGCTTGTTTGCCCCCCCCCCCATGAGTTAACGATATTGATCACGAAAAGATTCACTCATTCATATATTATTACTTTTCGATTGAATAGCAACTTCAGTACTCTGAAATTGATGTAAATGAATCTTACCCGGTTCAATCACAAATGTAGCTATTCCTCGATTTGCTGCAAGCCGGTTCAGACGTAGACTTACCACTTAGGGCCTTGAGGACTTGAGCGCAAATCCCGGAGCTGCCGTAGATCTTTCTTCCGAGGGAGCTCTAAGCGGAAAATTTTCTGAAGCGTCTCTATCTTTGATAATTGAATTGTTGCCTGCGTATTGACGCTACTAGCTGGTGTTAATAGGGTGTGAAGAATATCGACAATCAATGACTATATAACCTTACATTGTAAGAGTGAAGTACAAGCAAACTTGGCGAGAGAAGGAGAAAATAATTTTGAATTATTTTCGACCAACGGTCAAGTTCATCTGCTCCGTGGACTGCTAGAGCCGCCCCAGAGCGGGCGTTGAGCTGGTTGGAGCCGGAGGCGCTTGGTTAGGGTTGCGTGGCCGCAAGACAAAGCCCGCCAGGGCAGGTGCTCAGAGGTTAATTAGCGCTGCACCGGGGCTAGCGATATTGTCTCACCAAGGGATATTTCTTTATCGCGTATCTGTCGCGTCTCTTCGTCGGCTCTCTTCCATGACCTTAATTTTAACTACTGGGTAGTATCGAGAGCATTCTTCGAACCGGCGTAAGATAACTCTGTTTGTAATATGTCCTGATAAGCACCAAAGAAATAGAGGATATTTGTTTGTAGGAGACTTGATTGATTTAGAGCTGGCATAAGCATTTTAAGTCGACTTAGTCGCTTAGTGTCTTGATAAGGCAGATTAGGTGGAACTTTCACCCTCTACATGAAACGAATAGAGTACCTCATTGATCTACTTTTCCATGCTTATAAATCAATCTTTGCCTGAAAGAGAGCCTACTACGTAACTAATGATTACAGCACACATCATGTGCTGTGGTCATTAAATACAAAATGCGCAGCACTACATTTAAATACTGCTCTTCTCTCTCTAACAATTAATTAGCTCCTGACCGTTCAGCTTAAGCACTGTGATGAATCAAACTGTTTTTTTTTTTCGTTCAAATATTTCCTGAATTGAGCGAGTGAGTCGATTCTAAATTTTTAATTTAAACACAGCTTCATTGTGCCTGAGGTACAATGAAGCCCACGCAAAAAACTAAGCCGTTTTTATTTATATTTAAGATGACGGCTCTGTCAGTTGCCAAAGACACGCTCGTGATTGCCATAATTCTCCTAAATCAACGGTGACGGCGAACCTTTTATTTTAGATTGGACTAGATGCTTACATGATTTATGTATAAAGAACGCAACCTTGATGTTCTCAATGCTAGATGTCAGCCGCGAGGCATTTTTTCCGACGAAGAATCAGCAGAGCGAGCATAATGATTTTTCTGTCAGCAAACTGATCTGTCACTACATTTACTTTCACGATCACCGATCTAATGCGAAATACAATGCCCGGCCGTTAATTGAATAATTTTTTCGATACGAGATGACATTCAGTCAAATATCATGCACTCATCCATGTAGAAATCATTTAGCTTTTTGAGAAAGGGTTCTGTTTTGTGGGCTTAGATCTTGCCATTTTCTCTAGCTTGGTAAATAAACAATATTATAGTAATGAACAGGGTGTCTCCAACCTATATTATAGATAACTAATATATAAAGTCCTGCTCTTCAGACGCATGGCTTATTGAGAAACTGATGCGCTCCAGCAATGATGTGACGCGCCTGCCTATGTCTTAGAACTTGAAGCAAATTTAATTCATGCTGTAAGTTAAACTTGTAACCATGATTAAATTTCAATTTTCACACTCAGCGAACAAACAGCGATTAGGAAATTGTCATAAATCCCAACCATATTTTCATTTTAATTGAGCGTATTTAGAATTAGAGAAGTTTTCACAACTCGAATTTTACAATTCGAATGTGAAAACAAACAGGAAGGCAATTTTTCGAAGAATTACGAACTCAGGATAACTTTCACAGTGCGTCGCGAGAAAGCATAATTTATTGTAAAAACTTAATATGAATGACATTATATATCAACAAAATTATTTTAATAATGCCCAATTAAAATAATGCTTTGTTCACGTTGTGCTGCAGGGCTCGTCAAATGGATTACTGGACCATCCCCAACTCCCCCACCGGCAAGAGTTTCGAGGCCTTCGAGCCCACGCCGGGATGCATCTCCGTCGCCGTGACTCCCGTGAGTAAGGAAATATTTAATTGAAATATCATAGGTTGGTGCCCTAATATTCGTGTGAATGCGTGGGATGAGTTTCGTTTTTTTCCAAATGCAGGTGACTCACTTTTTGAACGGCTATTTAAGATTTTGTGCGAGATTCTCTGATCTGTTAATTGTTCTGAATTATTTTCAACAATAGTAAAGAATTTTCAACTCGTTTACTTGCTGCTTTGGGGCAATTAGTGCATGCATAACATAACATTCCTAGTAATATAATTCCAATCTAAAATTATACTTTACCTCTCGGCAACTTTTATTGTAAATGAATTTACAAAGAATTTCGTGCAAAATAATTTTTTTTAGCGTAAAAGAATCGTTTCAGTGGTCGCAAGCAATCGTGGACCTCAGCAAGAAGCCCTACACCGGCGCCCACATCGAAGTGTTCAGGATGATAATGCAGTACCTGGGATGGTGGTGCGTACATTATTGGTGATGCTACGAAAATTAGCATAACATTTATTATTGAACAATCATGAGAATACTCATATTACTTTTCATACTTCATTAACAAATGATTCTACATTTTTCATGTCGATCATAAAATAAATTCTAGATGTAATAGGAAACGCCTGACGTCAAAGCTTTATTTATGAAATGTTAATATCAACAGTTACTATTTGGTGGCACCTCCTGACATGTCTTTGGGTATCTTGGTGAACGGCTCATACACTGGAGGCATGGGCATGCTTGCTCGACGGGTAAGAGCTAAAACTAATAGATAGATAGATGAGATTTTCCCCCTCAATAAACAATTAACGTTAAATTTGAAATTTTTCAAAATGAAATACATTTCTTGCATTGCTAATTAGATTGAGATTTCAAGTATTTCATTAGGTTTTCGTTCATGTAAGTTTCAAATGAATGTTTAAGTAGACACAATTTTACTTTTCAAATAGGAAGTTGACATGTTGATGGGACCAATTGCTCAACACCCTACGCGCTCGGAACTCGTCGAGTACGCCCAGGCCTACTTGTATAACCCGCACGCATTTCTTTATAAAAGAATTACTCAAGTTCAACCTGATGTACTCATATTTACCAAGCCGTTCGTGAAGGAGGTATGTACACCGGAAAAAGGCACCTCAATTACGTTCTAAAGACGGAACACTAAAATCCTTATTTTAATTCTAAGGTTAATAATTAATAGGATTTTTTTCAAGAATGATGATATGATTACAGAGTGATAGCAACGGTGAAGGGGAAGGGAGCGGGTGAGTTGCTCGAGACACAGAAAGTTAATCCGGGTATTCAGTTATTTGGTTTATGTTGGGGCCATAGCTTCGAGGAGAAATGGACACGACAGTGTGTGAAGAAAATTGGTGCATATAGCGCATAACTGGATTGACTGTAGTTGTGTGGAGTTAGTTTGGGGTTGTGAGGAAACCCGTCTGGGCTGCGATTGATGTCGATGTTGGAGTGAGGAGTGTGTTGTTGTTCACTATTTATATAATTTACACATACAATTTGGCGTCGAGAAGAAATATGGATATATATACTCTGTCGCTTTCGTTTTTTTTTTAATTTTTGATATTTTTGTGCTTTTCATAAGTATAGTGATGAGGGTTATGATGATGATGATGATGCAGGTGGTGCGTTACTCAAGAGTCGAAGATTGTTAGGGCGCTAATGTTAGTTGGCTGTTGTTTTTGGTCACATCACTCAGTTTACCTCGGTAGTGGTGGTGGTATTCTGTGGTGCGTATAGTTGGTTAGTGTTTTGGGTTAGCAGCTACGCGCACAGAAGTTGAGGTGAGAGCGAGTACTTTGAAACGTTGGAAAAGACTGTGCTGCCTTGCTAGGGCGTCTGAAGGTAATGTGAGATGACTGAAAAGCTGGGACCGAATGTTTTTATGGAGGGCCATACTTGTTGATGGAAGACTCTGTTTACAATGGGAATGTTGAAATATTCACGTAGTGTTTTTGAAGGTATGAAATCTGTCGTGCGTGTGTTTGTGATGAATACTTGTGCCTCATTTTGCATTTTTTGTAAATGTGAAATGAATTTTTTTGATTGGGTGGGTTGTGATTTGATTGTAGAAGGCGAGCTATAGAGTGCGCTTAATGCTAGAAGAGAAAGTAAAACTTAAGTAGTTTATGCAGGTTGGAGAAGACAACTGCTTTTCTTGATTTTATAAGATATCTATAACCGTGCGTTGTGAGCTTTAATCCTAAAACTGTACCTAGCTATGTGCACGGGAAGTATGTTTTGTCTATGTATATGTCAGATAATTTTCATTAAATTTAATGGGGACGATTTTAAACTTTATGGTGTTGGTCCTCATGAGCCATGATAACGTGTTATATTTATAGAAGTGCATTGTAGTTGTGTGAGTAACATCCTGTTATTATATGAGTAACGTCGCCTACAAATAATTCGTGATCCGAGTTTGGTAGTGTCGGTGGGAGGTCACGGGTGTAGAAGCTGTAGAGTTGGGGAGACAAGCCACTTGGGAGAAACCTGTTTGGAGTGGTGGACCTGTTTATTTGCCTATTCTGATGGATGTTGTTTTGTTTGATAGGTAATCTGTCAGTGTTTTTGTAAAAGACGGTTGGCGGTTATGTTGGATGATATTATATTGTATTGTAGTCCGGTGTGCCAAACCTTGTCCAAGGCTTAGGTCACATCGTGGAGCACTATGTCGATGGTGTGTCTTTATACCAATTTCATAGCAAGTGTTTCGCGGAGTGTGGCTATAGAGCTGTACGGGTCCCTCAATGTTGCTTAAAGCCGTATTGTCGAGTGTTGTGTGTGTTGTCGATGATGAGGTGATCGTACAATCTGTTGTTGAGTTTTAGGCTAAAAGCTTAACGTGGATGTATACTTGTCTTTTGGTTTGTGTAAAATTTTCAAATTGGTCGGTAGTTTTGCACTTGTTGTTGAGAAGTGATGGGTTTTGTGGAGGAAGATCATGATGGTATGTTTAATTGGTCAGGGAAATGGAGTGATTAAATATGTATCATTTTTCATTTGGATAGTGTATAATTTTTTGGTAAGTGTTTGAGTTGGGGGGTTGTGATGCCTGAATGCACGTTTTTTGTGTTTTTGGTATCCGCTGTAGTTTTCTAGTGGTTTCGGGTGGGTCATCCACTGGGTGGAGTCGGGTGAGGTCACCGTAATTGTATGGGTGAATGAGGTGTTTATTGTTGCTGACGTGGCCTTGTATGGTGTGGGTGTGTTCAATGTCAGTCTTCATTGTCTGTGTCTTTCAAGGTGAATATTTCCTGCTAGTATTTGCGGAAGATGGATTCTTCTTGATGTGTTTGGACTATGAGATGCATGGTTGTTTGGTGCTGGAACCTAGCATGCGTTTTAGGGGAGACCAGAATTTTTCGGGATCTATTTGCGTTTCTAGTTTTGATGAGGTTCTGCTATGTATGTGTTCGAAGATATCTGTATGCTGCGTGCAGTTCGCGTAGGATGACGAATTGTCTGTTGAGTGCTGGCGATGGACCTAAGGTGTTTATCTATTGAAAAGGGGCAATTGATATTGTATTAGTATGAACAGTGTCTCGTGGGTGAGTTTGAAGCCGTGGAAGATACGAAGCTTTATGTTGGGGATTGAGGTATTAGTGTCGTTCAATGTGTTTTGTCCAGTTATCTGAATGTGTGTCTTGCATAATGTAGGGTCTGGTTGTGTTGGTATTGCGTGCTATGATAATGTTCGTTTACATAGGGGCCAGTTTGCTCTATGATATTTGTATGAGGTTGGAAAAAATTGTGGCTCTTATGAGAATTTTATCGGAGGGTGTGATGGGTCCTGGTTGTATGCTTTTTTGTGGAATGCGGCTGCCTAATGGTTATGTAGGACTGTGTCTAGTCTGGTGATGCTGTGCTAGTGTGAGTAGTAAGGGTTAGAAAGCAGAATCCAATGTGGGTTCATTTGCGTTGGAATATTAATGAGTGTAATTGTCTTCCTATCTGGTTGAAGGATCAGTTTTCAAGTGTTGTGTGTCTTGCGTTTATGTCAGCGAGGAGGTGTGGCGCCTATTGAAAAGCGAGTGAAACATGTAGTAAAACACTTAAATAATAGAAAGTAGGTAATGATCGAAATCATCTAAATGATCATTCATGTAACTTCAGAGCTCCTATATGAGCAATGCCGATATATACATTCAAATGGTCACCTCAGGTTTGGCTGTGGGTGCTGGCTTCTATGGTGGCGGTGGGAGGGACGGCCGGTCTGCTGCATCTGGTTCACTCTTCCCGCAGGTCATTCTAGAATTTTTCAGATCAATTCATCCGCTTATTGCATATTGTTCAAAACGTGTGTGCAAATTTATTCATTGAGAACGAACTATAACTAATATTGCTATTTATCGTTCCTGCTCATTACTTTCCAACATTCAACGTCAAGAGCATATGCTCGGGAACATATATAGTTTCATTTAGGTGCTATCCTAGTCAGCTCCCACCGATAATCATCGATAGTTATGATTGTTGCTACCGTCCATACACTAGGTGACTATGAACTGAATTGATTTTTTAGTAGATAAAATTGTGTTTTGCTTCTCAGGAGTATAACCAAACGCATGTACATACAAGCTCTGCGATTTAAAAAATTTCTTCTTCTCGTGCAACGTGTAAAACTAGATTTCTTTTAAATGCGACAGAGTAATCCCTTCCAAATCCGGACAATCGAAGTGGGTGATGATCTCGCGAGGCTTCACCTGGGCTTGGAAACTTTTACTTGCACAAGGTAAGACTTTCTTGCAGAATTTGAACGTCGATTGCTATTTTTTAATTCTCCTACAGAAGTTATTTTTGGTGCGATAATGCAAGCACCATAAACAGGAAAATTCACAATTGTCGTCAAGACAAAAAAAAAAAAGATTTATCGCGGGATAGATTAAAAAATCTTATGTTTATTCACCGTCTTCGCAATTATTTGAAGTATATCTTCACGATTCATGCTCATCTTAAAATATCTGATAATCCAAATACTAAACTCTATTTCATTGGTGGTATTGAGCATTCTTGAAGAGCTGGCCACTCGTGGTAAAATTCCTTTGCAACCAATTCACAAATAGTACACTATAATCATCGATGAACGTCATCTATACCGGCACACTCTCCGGGTTTTAAGCGTTTTATTGTCGATTGTTGGCAGACGTGACCAGTGGCCACCCATCGTTGCGCCACATATAATCTACCACTCCAACCTATAACCATCGGTACGCCACCCTTAATTTTTATTTGGGAAGGCCTCTATATCGCCTCCCACACAAATTTTTCAAGGTCGCAATTTCAAGATATGTAAGAAGGTCTGACGACTTCTCGCAATCATAGCCATCGTTAGCTTTATCACTATTAAAACAATCAATCAATCATTCGTTAATCAACTAAAATAATCATTGTACTAATCTACTATATGCATGTATTTTTAAAAATGATTTTCCGCCTTGATTAGATGTATCTGACACACCACGGGAAGGTGCCGGTCGAACGCTCTGTGTCTTCTGGCTCTTCGTATGCTTCATGATCACTTCCATGTACCGAAGCAACATCACGGCCATCTTAATCAATGACAAGGTCCTGTCCATCTGTGTAAATACGACCATTATATCAACACGGCATTAATTATGTCATTAAACAATGTTTTAAAGTATTATTCTTATACAGGTCAAGCTGCCGTTCACTTCAGTCGAGGAATTTGAAGCGCAAAATATATACAAGCTGACTTGGATTAACGGGCAAATATACAATACTTATTTCCAGGTAAGAAAATTTATCTTAAGGAATCAATATAGATTTTATTGTTCAGTAAATATGCATCATATCATCTGGCCATTAATGATACTTTGGTTGAAACAGCCTGATTCGAGTGCCCAACAATTCGTACTTAAACAATTCCTGGCTAAAAAAACTACTTCTCTGATTCTAGTGACCTAAATCACAAATGAACATTTTCATTGATGAACATTGAATTGACGCGCTAAAAATGTTATCTGCTAGCTCATGCGCGTTCATTCATTTGGTGCCAATCTTTAATTTTTCAGAATTATGCACTCACACAACCGGACTATGTCTTGGGCAAAATGTGGAAAAAGCGAACCGAATACCAACCCGACGCCAAAAATGTCATCACCACGGTATTGAAAGACGAAGTCGCAGGTGCTTTACTCCTCAACATTCATATCTTTACGAATTAGAGGCAAAAGACAATCCTATTGTAATAGGTAACAATAATGATAATAATAATAGCGCTGTCATTGTTGCAGATTAGAACCGAAGCCAATTCTGAACAACGCAGAATTTTCACCGGGTATGGCGGGTCTCGAACTCATTGCTTCAATCAATATTCACTGTGCTAAACAGGCCTGTCACCTCACCTATTTCGACCAGAACTTTTCATAGTTCTGGTCGAATAGCTTTCATAGCTGTATCGAGCTTTAATTCTGGGGCTTTACCTAGCATTGTATTCTTTAACTACCCCTAATTCTTTACTTTACCCAATGGGTCATACTGCCGAATTATTGTGAAAATTGGCATGATATTGCAATACTATTAAAAATTTAAAAGCAAAGAAAGTAGCCAGAAAATTCACCATTTCTTATAAAGGAAAACATTTCGGAAACCAGCTCCATCATCGGTTCAAAACCTAAAACACAGGTACAAACAATTAGCAATAAATTCACATTGCAGAATAAATCGCTAAATGAGAAACAAACAAAAAAGAAGCAAACCCGGGCACAAACCTATCTATTTAAAATTTCGAGGGGATATGAACTGTTAGCGGCATTTAAAATAGGCTTTTGTTTAAAAATATAAAGGAACTAAAAATGTAAAGGAAAGGAAAAAAATATAAAGGAAAAATATAAAGGAAATATATATATAAAGGGGATGCGCAAGCAGGTTTCCTGTTCTAAAACTCCTTTCTTTATGCTCCGCCAGCCTAAGTATAAAAGTTGCGAGCTGTCACACCAACATACGCAGATGCGCAAAGCGCACAAGTATATTGATAAAATAGGGACGATCGCATAGGAACAGGGAGTGTGTCTTTATACTTGAAAAAATATCTCAGTACTCACTGCAGTGAGTGAAGAGAGCGCATTTTCTCACCGACGAAAACGTGAAACCACGGACGGACAGACGGACGGACGGACAGACTGACATGGCGAGCACAATAGTGCATTTTTTCCATATATGCGAAAATGCTCTAAAAAGAACTGATTTAAAATTATTCACCAGCAATACATGAAGATTTATATTTGGGAGGTATTTAGAGAACAAACCTTTCAACTCTTCAGCCATAGACTCAGAAGCGGGACCAAAGTAAGGAAATGAATAATAAACAGCATTCCTATGGTCACGTTCGGGAACAATCTCAGAATATTGCTTAGACAAAAATTTCTTAATTTGAGTATATACCAATTGCGACGGAAACCCATTAAGTGAAAACGCACTGCGTAAAAATTCAAATTCAGAGTGCATAGTATGGAAAGTTGAGCAGATACGAAAGCCTCGGTTTATTAACATTCAAATAACATTTAATTTGAAACTAAATGAACAAAAGCTAAAAAAGCTGGTGCATAAACCGGTAAACGTTGATTTTCGGTAAACAGAGGTCTGAAAACGGCCATTTGATTTTGTGACATTGCAATCAAGAAAAGATAGACTATTGTTTGATTCTAGCTCTATGGTAAACTTGATGGACTTGTGCTGGAGATTAAGATAATCAAAGAAAAGACCTGCATGAGAGGGATGCTTGAAAATTAAAAAAAGTGTCATCGACATACCGGTCATAGAATAGTGGCTTAAAATCAAGAGGACAATTGGCCAGCCATGTAGCCTAGTGAAAACACATAAAAATGTTTGCAAAAGTAGGGCCGAGAGGAAGACCCATGCCTAAACCATGAATTTGTCTATAAAAATTTGCCAGCATATATAAAAATTTAGTTTAAACAGATAATTCAATTGAGTTTAAACAGATAATTGAGTTTAATCAGTTTATATAAACAGTTGCGGTTCAAACCCATGACACAGTCATTGACACTTTTAAACAAAGAACTTAGGCAGATATCGATAGTCTCATGGAGGGGTATATTGGCAAACAAAGTCCTGAACATTAGTGAAAAAATTTTTTAAGCGATCCACGAGCATGTAAGTATTGTCTACCGTATACTGTTTGGTGGTGAGACAGTTCAAAACCGGAACTAAAAATTTAGCAAGTTTGAAGCTCGGAGTATTGTAAGCGGCAAAGATTGGGCGGAATTGAAATTTCAAAGCGAAATCTCGTTTATAAATTTTGGGTAAGCCATACAAAATACCAGGGGAACAGCCAGAAGCATTATGTTTGAAATAATTTTCAGATGAATTTTACGCAGTACGTTTTCACTTAATGGGTTTCCGTCGCAATTGGTATATATTCAAATTAATAAATTTTTGTCTAAGCAATATTCTGAGGTTGTTCCCGAACGTGACCATAGGAATGCTGTTTATTGTTCATTTTCTTACTTTGGTCCCGCTTTTGAGTCTATGGCTAAAGAGTTGAAAGGTTTGTTCTCTAAATACCTCCCATATATAAATCTTCATGTATTGCTGGTGAATAATTTTAAAATCAGTTCTTTTTTCAAGTATAAAGACACACTCCCTGTTCCCATGCGATCGTCCCTAGTTTATCAATATAATTGTACGATATGCGCATCTGCGGATGTCGGTATGACATCTCGCAACTTTTATACTAGGCTGGCGGAGCATAAAGGAAGGAGTTTTAGAACAGGAAACCTGCTTATTGCGCATCCCCCTCATTCAGCAGTACGTACGCGTCCATATGACGAGCAGTGCAACGTGCCAGTGTCTGATAGTGATTTTCGAATTTTGGCATCCACGACTGGTGTTTCCGACCTGCGAATTTTAGAGTCCCTTTATATTTTCAAACAAAAGCCTATTTTAAATGCCGCTAACAGTTCATATCCCCTCGAAATTGTAAATAGATATGTTTGTACCCGTATTTGCTTCAATCTTGTTTGTTTCTCATTTGACGATTTATGCTTCAATGTGAGTTTATTGCTAATTGTTTGTACCTGTGTTCTAGGTTTCGAACTGATGATGGGCTGGTCTCCGAAACGTTTTCCTTTTTAAGAAATGTTGAATTTTCTAGCTATTTTTATGCGATGCAAGCAAGAAAATGCGATGTAAGCAGTCAAGTGATTTTAATGCCATACTGTTGTTTTTTAATCAATAAATAATACGATTACAAGAGTCTTAACGCTTACAAAAGTCTTGCTTTAGATTTCAGTTTCTGTGCGATAAACGTTCCGCGTAAATTTGAGTGAATCTTTCATATATTTTGAAAGTTTATGCGTTAATTTGTACGGACGCTTTGGAAGCTTGTCGCTGCAATATAACAGGACTATTCGAGCGCGTGTCCACATTTCCAGTCATGTTCGGTTGTCACCGAAACCTGAAATTTTTTCATTCTGGTATCTCATCGATTCAGGTTGAAAAATTAAAACTAAAAAAATGTTGAATCTATCAGAAGTATATTTTTTGGAAAATATCAAATTGGACTTTCCTCAATGCTTAAAATAGGAAATACGATGAAGCTCTGTGCTAAACGAAACTTTTTTGTTAAATTGGGGCTTTGTTGAATGAGGGTTCAAACTTTTTATTTTCACATCACTCAAGTTTGGAAAATTACTTGAATAGTGAGTACAATTTAATGGAAAGATCCTCTAACCTTTAGTATCTACTAACATGAGCAAGGTTACCTGTTTGCTCCAAGTAATTATCTTTATCTCTAGTAAACTTCCCTGTGCATGTCACGTGCAGTGATCGCTCCTGAAATGATTCATCTTGGATTAATGACGGGTGATTTTTCCGAGGTAAGATATACGATATTTCATGTTCTTGATGCACTTTACCGTGATTGCTTGGAACACATAAATTACGACTATTGCAACGACCTTCCACGAAGACAGCCATTAGATATCAAAATAATATACCTGCAATATTCATTAGAATTTTTCTTTTCATATCGCAATCGACATAGTGAATGCTGCACCCAACTGTACAAGATCTACCTAATAAGATGCTAAAAAGGCTAATATTATATATCAGCCTTTCACTGACATTATAGCTGAAACAGTAACCTAATTCAATGTAAACATTCAATTGATTGCAGTATGGTGAGTGTCGCCTAGCGCTGTGTGAAGCAAGTCTTATACCTCCTGTCTTCATGACTTATGGTTACCCCAAAAACTCTCCTCTTCAAGTCAGATTTGATATCATGTGAGTATTTTGTGTGGTGCATGTATATCATGAGATGTGTTGGAGCATTATACGCCAACGTAACAGAGCTGCATGGCAGAGGCGGGACGTAAACAGAGTTGCTGGTAGTGGCGGGACGTAAACAGAGTTGCTGGTAGAGGCGGGACGTAAACAGAGTTGCTGGTATATAGAGGCGGGACGTAAACAGAGTTGCTGGTAGAAGCGGGACGTAAACAGAGTTGCTGGTAGAGGCGGGACGTAAACAGAGTCTGTCTCTTATACACATCTAGATGTGTATAAGAGACAGGAGTTGATGGTAGAGGCGGGACGTAAACAGAGTTGCTGGTAGAGGCGGGACGTAAACAGAGTTGCTGGTAGAGGCGGGACGTAAACAGCTTCCTTGACGTAACCCCACAAGAAATAGTCACATAGGGTGAGATCAGATGATCTCGGTGGCCAAAAGTGTAGAACCAGATTTTCATTTCCTATGCGTTTGTGGGACGAGTTTGACTCCCGTTTAGATGTTTTCCGTGCTGCTCAAGGGACATATTGAATATTGATAAACATGTAAAAATTTTTGATCTTTCTCTTTATATAGGTGTATAAATTATTCATTTCGAATTTGTACCTAAATAAATACGAATTTATTGGATTGACTCATTTAGAATAACTGTATACATAAGATATATTCATTTACAAAAACATTGTAAAATGCTAGGCTCAAAAACTTCCTCGATTCAAATGATTAAACGCAACCACTTGTGAACGCTGAAATACAATGAGACTTAACAAAATATTGGTCATAATGGCGCTTGGAAACAATTCCTTCAGGCTTCTTCGGGTGGTCCAGTCCGGCATAGCGGATCATTTGATATCGAGCAACTTGTGGAACTCGACGTGGTGCATGAAACCTTCGAATACCCTCAGCGAATCACGGCCACTTGTCGTCACAGATTTTCTTGGACTTTTTAGCATCTACGGAATAGGTAAAATTATAGCAAATAGTTATTTATTACTTCAACGTTTTAAAAAGACTTAAGAGATTATTTCGATGATGACCTTCGATAGTTTCAATCATGCCGCAGAGTAAGTTACTTAAAAAACTTCCCTATGAAATCAGAACCACTTTCTTAATGTAATATTGGATAAAGGGAAGGAGATTTTTTGTATGAAGCGTTTGTTATTGAATTTTAATGAATTTTAAGCTGCTAAGCAGAGAAGAAAATTAATTTTACATCTTCGAATTTAACACGTCATCTATATTTATTATTTCTTTAAACAATACAAGGAATGGCGTGTACGTGTTAATGTTTTGTGGCTTCAATCTGGGTAAAAAATTTAAAGTGTATATTTAGCTAAAACAAATCAAACCTATGGGAATTAATTATATTAACGGACTACATCACTCCGTATCAATCCTGAATTTTTATTTGTTTTTGATATTGCTTTTAAACAAATGAAGAATTAAAATTAATTATTTAATTTCGATTAGACGACAAAAAAATTGCAATCTGGTGGATGGACAATCATTAAAAATTGATTTGAAAATTGAGTAAAAATCTAAACTACAAATCCAAAAAGGTATTTTAAAAACACGATGGCTAGTTCATGTTGAAATATTCCTTGTCTCCACCGTAACTGAGATTTTTCCCTTCTTCCCTTCCACTCGTCCGTCTAAATTTAAAGCATCTGCTTGAGACCTGCATGAAAATTTGTCCGGACTGAAAATAATTTTATATTGGCTGCGGTTAGTTTACGTCAAAGAATATTCTTTGGTTACGTGTTTTTTCATTGCAAAGGTTTTGACTACATTGCAAATTAATCATATGTTTCACCTGAATACATTGTTTGAAATATAGAGACTAAATTTCCCTCTTATACCCGCAATAACAGCTTCAGAATATTTGTGTTTATCTGGTTAAATCGAATTTGTTGGAGATACATTTCCTCCCTTATTCACACTATGTACATGACACGCTCCCTGCTGATGAATTAATTCAGATTTTCACCGCTCAGGCATGGCATTCTCCGTACTGGTGTTCATTATCGAAGTAGCAACGGGACGTGAGGCAAAAAGCAAAATAAATACATGAGGAGACTCAATTTCTTGACAGTTTACGGACCAAGACCTGGACTCTCTTTACACCGCGCTTGGAACGCTTCATATTTACATCTACGACATCTAAGCTTCCTGAGACTAATAAAATCTGATGCATTGGGTTCTACAAACTGTTTGAATATGTCAGTTCAATGAACCAATTTTTTAATGATTATTCAGGAACTATTGACACACCTTATTGACATGAGGCATAAACAACATAAAAACCGTTGAAACAATGAAAATATGTTAAACGCTTGTTGTTTCAATGTTTCCAAAAATTTCAACCCAATAGGATCTGGTATATCATGAAAATAATCCGTCTCCGATTCGATTAATAAAACAATCCGAATGCATGTAAAAAACACCGGATTTAGAATGCACCGAGATAGTGTACACGATATATTTCAGATTTTCTTCGCTATACTAATTCTTCGGATGCAAGGAACTGTTTTTTCAACAGTACTCGATACAAATTTCATGCAATGCTTGGGCTATCCACAAAATCGATTCAATTTGGCAGTTTCCTAAGTATAGAAATATTGTAAAACACTATATTAGGAACGAATAAAATTATTGCGAAGGTCTACGAGAATATTCGAGGGACTCTTCATAGAGACCTATATATAAATAATGTTCATCTTGTAGTGAATTAATTGATTGTATTATTCAAAAAATCGTTATAAATGAATAGCAGGAAAAACTGAATAATAAAATGCAAACATTACTGCTGTTTAATTCAACAACCTATTTGATGTCAGTACTCGGGGATTTCGATTGTCCACCGTTGATGAAATCCGTTGTGATTTTCTTAAATATTGTTTTAAATTATTCCGTATACATAAAGTTTTGCTATCGGATTCCCTACATATCTTGATTTTTTTACGTTAACTTTTGCTTGCCACGCTTCCACTAAATAAAAATGATGCGTGAAGCCGCGATCCTTAATAAAAATAATGGATCTCGTATTCACTGCTCATTTGCTATCAGGAGCTGGTAACCTCTCATATAAACCATTTGTAGACAATGAGCCATTCTAGTCTATTGCGTCAATTATTTATTTTTTGGCACAGTTTGGTATCTTAATTATGCCCCAATATAGTTCAATTATCGCTAATACTTCTTGCTTATCCACCCTCTTGACCGTTAGAGGGACAGACTAGACACAACTAGTTTGTGTGCCATACGTTTACCATAATACCTCGTCACGTTTGTTATAGTGATTCGTTATCGAACGGCTGCCACACAAGCAGAAAATTATTTGTAAATCATTGCATTTTATTTAGTTTTCAAGTTAAAGGACAGAATGGATAAAAAAGGTGGCAAATGGCTTATCACAAGCACTATACGTCTGAAGCAACTCTGTGATTAATACATATATATAATGGCAATATTGGGAACGGCCATATAAACTGTATTGACTGTAAATTCCGTTTTCGGTAGCAAGCGACAAACTAAAAGGAATATTATTGTTAAGTAAATCGTTATCCTGCAGTCTTGAGGCGTGTAACTCTGACCTCTATTAACGACTAACTGAATTCTCTAAGAAATCGGTAGTCGACACCTCGACAAAATTGTTGAAATTTATTTCATTGATTTTTTGTTCATACTGGTAAGATTCCACTCACAACTCTGATGAATCTACATGAGTACAGATCAGCCTTTCCAACGAATGGTAGTCGTGTTTCCAAGACACGACTCTGCATGCAGTATCTTTCTATAATTCAGGCATAGCTGGGGATCATTAGTTTTAAACTATTAGATCCACGTCATATTCCTAATGAGCGAAACTTACGAGGGATATATTTCTATTAAAAGAAAATACTATCGAATATTTCAGTGGTATCGTTTTTCCATTCAATCTACTCCTGTTATTTTATTTTGTAATATTACTTAATTTGTCTATTATGATGTAAAAGGAGAATATATTCTGCAAGACAAACCCAATGCAGGCCACAACTGGCATTTTGCCAGAAGTCTGGACCTTTAAGTTCAGGCAGCACGTCTTCAATGAGAGATATTTTCCGTACACTTAGGTAAAAAAATAATAATGATCAATTTTTCAGTGAACTATCAATATTAACTTTAAAATTGTTACTCATTTTGAGTCATGAAAGCCATATGTGTGCTTTGCCCTCAACGCTTCAATTTACTCATAGGCGATAAATCTTATTCATATTTTATTGTTTTCAATATTTTATTCCAGGCTGAGTGCTATTGATTGCGCTGTGTTATTGGATTATACCATGAGTATAGCAGAGCGTAACTTCGGGGACTCGCCTCAAATTTGGCACGTGAAATGGACATGGAACATTAAGCGACACATTTCTAAACTATTTGGAACCATTATGAAGTGAGCTTATATAAAGTATCGGGAATGCTGTGCGACGACAGTCGCCGTAATAACTTCATCGTGAGTATTGAAGGTAAGTGTTTTTTTCCAGTGCTGTATATAGCGCTTTTTAAGTAGAGAAGATCGAATAAATTAATGGGTATTAACGATATAAAATACTTGCCAAGTAACTTGTGATTTTTTGTCCACTTTATTTCACAATTTCACTAAACAGCTCAAATGCCACGATTGATAACACACTCGTCACAGTGGGCAACGCAATATAACTTTGCAAATAGTTTTCTAGGCCGAAGAAATTGTACAGAAATAGTAGTACAAAATAAGCTCATGAAGCAATATATCCTGAATGGAATTAATGGAGATCTTGGAATAAAAGGAAATCTTGGAATGGTTTATAGTCGGTTAACGTCTTTTCGGCTGCATTGTATACATAGATACATCTCACTCATTCCTATATGGATGGTGCGCACAACTGAAACATTCAAACCCTGAATTTGGGAGGCATGAATGGCCTGCATACATCGTGAATAATCACAATAATTCTGATTATCAGTAAGAATATAAGCTTGTTGTGCTGATGATGATCAGCGCTTTTTAGGCGAAAAGGTCCTGACTGTGGCAAACACGTAAAACTCCGCTGAAATACTGAGCTGTATAACACCGCATTACTGCATTACTGTTTTAAATACTATATTCAGTTGAGGAAATACAATATTAATAAAATGGTGCAATGTTTGCAGCATTTCGAGGGATTCCTAACCTAAACGCTTCTGGAGCCTTCCATTCCCTCCATTTCTCTTTCTCTCTTCGTCAAGACAAAGAGAAAGAGAGAGAGAGAAAAAAAAACATATATGTCAGCATATTGAATTTCTAATTATAAAATTTCGAGTAAAATTTTGATATTGACACATTATAAAATGTCAATACCAATCATTTCTTATGACGAGTTAGAACTTTGAAATTACATTCAAATTAAGTCACCTGCGCTTGACGAATTCTGAGAAACTAGATTTAGATGCTAATTATTACCATCAATATAATATAATATAATACCAATATATTGTAATATAATATATAATATATTATCTATATATTCGAGGTTAAAATGGTTGCGTTTTTAACAACTTATAAAAATTTTATGATATATTATACGCGACGTAATCTTTAGATACTTGATACCTTTACAATAATGGCACATGTGTTAATTCTTCTATTTTAAGGTTCGTAAAATGAGGGAGTGGACCATCCCCAACTCCCCCACCGGCAAGAGTTTCGAGGCCTTCGAGCCCACGCCGGGATGCATCTCCGTCGCCGTGACTCCCGTGAGCAAAGAAATACTTCCTTGCTTTAAAGTTAAAGTTAAGTTAAAGACAATGAGTTAAGACGTGTCATCGCTTGGCTAAATTCGTATTTGACTTTATAAGCAAAGAATATAAATCAGTGATTGTATCACATAAGAATTTCTAAGAATCGTTTGAGAACCGAGGATTTTACTCATCTGAGTACAATAATATTCAGTTTTATTGAATTGTTAAAACTAGGTAAAGTTAGAAGACTTGGTTTATTGAACCGTTGAAACTAGGTAAAACTAGAAGACATGGTTTTCCATAGCAGGCTGCAAGAAGCCGCTCACAGGCCAACGAGTGATGACAGAATCAACGAAGGAGAGTCACTCTCGTGTTGAAGCGCTCATGAAAGTTGAACTCAGAGCTGAGCGGTGCTAGCGAGGGCGTCCAAGGGGCCTTTTTCCGGCAAGATTCATCCGATTCGATTTGGTCCTTTTTAGCGCATTTTCTCATTTATGGAAAAAATCCACTATTGTGCTCGCCATGTCCTTCTGTCTGTCTGTCTGTCCGTCCGTCTGTCCGTCCGTCCGTGACCTCAAGTTTTCGTCGACGAGAAAATGCGCTCTCTGTCACTCACTGCAGTGAGTACTGAGTTATATTTTTTACAATTGCTTTGGCCAGTAAAATAACATGATCTATATATCAATATATATACATATATCATATACTTAAACCGAAAAATCGAGCTGTTATGGTGCAAATTATAAATTTACATATAATTATTGAATTTTACCTGGTTCTCTTGACAGCATCTCGCAATCCTGCGTGCTAGTACGGGGAACTGTTTCCTTGGAAGTGATTCTTTGCAAAGCGTAGGATAAAATTAGCTTATTTCAATGTTAATATAATAAGTGACTGCAATATTGCCATGGCTAAGCTTTGGCTTCAATAACATACTTACGATCTAATACTTTCTGGCAAGTTTACCTGATATCTATAAAAAGTAATGCAGTAGATATAAAATTTAATGGCATGTGAAAATTTAGTAATTAAAGATAAACTTTTTAATATCAATCGATAAGGTATAAATAAAGTGGTCATGTGCGACCCGTGTAGTAACTATGATGCAGGAAGGTAGAATAGAAGTAGATTAAATCTCCCAAGAAATTTTTTTAGTGAACCTAGCTGTGCTCCAGCAACAAGAGATCTGAGTGAGCAAAATTGAGTGAGCAAAATAATATTTAGGCAATCTATGTGAGCAGAGAACTGACAAGAGGGTGTTACTGATTTCGTCTTAACATATTATCTTGTAGTTGGTTCACAGTCCGTACAATAAATAATTTGATTCTAATTATAGCATTCGGTCAACAATTACGCTTATATCCAAGCTGAAATTTGGTCCGATTTGATCAGCCCAAAATTTCTCGCGGCAAAGAACAGGACCGCAATCTCCACGATAACGAGCTACTTATTTAACTGCTAAGTGGAGAAACTGGTGCTTCAGCTGACTTCATCCATACTCACCATCACAACCCACTCCCTCCAACTAACTCACGCACAAGAAAATACTTGAAATAGAGCACGATAAAACTCTTAACAACAAATATAAGTAATACAGGGTGAGTCTATTCTTTACTTGCGCTGTACTGTTCCCTGTCTGGCGGCAACCTGTGCATGGAGACGCTCGTATAGGCGCCGAGCACTATCCATGTCGCCATCGTCTTAATTTTATTAATTGTTAAGAAGTTTGTTGCATAGTTGACGTAGACAGACGGAAAGGATGGATGAATTAGTGAAGATAAACTTTAAAACTTTTCCTAATGACATAACTTGAACATTGTGCATTAAATATGCTGACAAGCAGCAGAACGCCGTCACTCGGATACATTCGAGGCTTTGTCAGAGAATAAACATTAAATTGTGAGCTTTCAGCCTTTGTATCTTTAATTTTAAGTTATTATTATTCATAATGGTTTTGGATAGAGATACGCTTCCGCATAGGCGTGTTTTGCATAGACACATAGTTTCTAGATGTTATTCTTTAGCATAGTTTTCTACTTTAAATTTTGATAACAAAAATATGCCGTAAGAATTCACCATATCTTTACAAAAGACATATAATGGAGTCCAGCTACATTGTCAGATCTCTTATTCAAAAATATGTAAAAGTACAATCAATTAGCACTATAAAAATGCTCAAAAAATACATAGATAAATTAGAGACATAGCAGCAGGTGGACAAACATTTATATTTATTATTCCGAGTGAAAAAAAAAACAGAGGCCGCATTCAAACAAGGATTCTGTATAGAAATGTACTGAGAGTCGAAAAGAATAGGCCTATGTAGGTTTCTGAAGTTGTGTTATTTTGTTTTTAATGTCGTGTTTCGCAAACTCCCTTAAACGTTTCGCACTCTTTTGCTTTTCGCTCTATACCAATTAATCGATAATAGAAATTGATTGATTTAGAACTTTAATTAATGGATAGTTTTGATGCTAGCTATGCAATATGCATTTATTAATTTGACCCGCGGCTCAGAAAGATGTGCAACGTTTTGGATCACTTCATTTAATAACTTTATTGAGAAGTTTGGACGTCATTCTTCAAGTAAATTCCGTAATCGTATGAAATGCATGTCAGTTAACGTATTCGAATCGAAGCATTCACTTTTGAGAGGATTTTGAAGTCGCGCTTACATTTATACGAAAAAAAAACACAATTAAGATTGTCTGCAATCGAGACTCATGCAGGCTGTATGAGGGATCTATTCACCGCCAACCAGAGGCCATCTTAACGACGCCCAGTGGTCTCCCGGCACCAGGCAGATAAGGCCAAATGTTTCCTGCGATACATAATTTATATATACACTTGCAAGCAGAAGTTATCCATAAGCCGCTAAATTATTTTATTTCAAAAGCATTAACGTAGGTAAAAAATAGTAGAAAACACTATGACGTGGATCCCTTCTCTAACTGTGAAATATGTATTTGTTTTAGTGGTCGCAAGCTATCGTAGACCTCAGCAAGAAGCCCTACACCGGCGCCCACATCGAAATTTTCAGGATAATGATGCAGTACCTGGGATGGTGGTGAGTATGCGATTGTTGCTGATATGAAGTCTTATTGTAGGCACCTCTCTGTGTGAGCGTGATAAATGTTCATGTGAATATTGAATTATCTCGGATCAATGAGAAATAAATCAGCATTTCTTTAATTGTAGGGCCATCCATTATAGTTAGAATTCTCATGTCTTGTGAAATACTTTATGTTGATTAATGTTTTATGTGAAGATTCACATCAACAGTTATTATTTGGTGGCACCCGCTGATATGTCTTTGGGTATCCTGGTGAACGGCTCATACACTGGAGGCGTTGGGATGCTTGCTCGACGGGTGAGAGTTTAAATAGAAATTTGTTAGTGCGATTGTGTAGAGATAAAGCGTTAGCTTACTGGCGACGATTGTAGGAAAAATATGGTGCTTTCCGAGAAGGTATTCGTGTGATATACTCTGTTGCTTTTTAGCGCATTTTCTCATTTATGAAAAAAATGCACTATTGTGCTCGCCATGTCCGTCTGTCCGTCCGTGACTTCACGTTTTTGTCGACGAGAAAATGCGCTCTCTGTAACTTACTGCAATGAGTACTGAGTTATATTTTTTTATAATAGAGCGTCCCAAAAATCGAAGTTGCTATATCTCTATGATAACTGCTTCTGTTGAATTGTGTTGCCACTACGCGGAAACTTAATTTCTCATTTTAAAATATATTTTTCGCTATGGAAATGAAAAATTTCATAGGCTTGCATTGAACTTTTCCGCAGGAAGTTGACATGTTGATGGGACCAATTGTTCAACATCCCACGCGCTCGGAACTCGTCGAGTACGCCCAGGCCTACTTGTACAACACCCATTACTTTCTGTACAAAAAAATCACTAAAGTCCAACCTGATGTACTCATATTCACAAAGCCGTTCCTGACAGATGTAAGTAATGCAGAAGCAAACCATGCAAATTGGTTGTAAGAATATGAGTTAGTTATTTTCACATTATGTAAGAAATTTTTATATAATTTTCATGAAAATTTGATGGAATTCGTGGGCGCCCTGACCCTCAGAAAGACATTTGAATTGGCCCGCCATGAGGTCGTTAATTAAACAACTCCCCACGGAAGACGATACGCTATCTTCAATAGAAAAGAGAAGTATTTACAACAACGTTGCATGATAGTAAATGACACTTAAGTAAAAAATCCTGATACAAGAGCAAATGTAACAGGCATTCAGTGTGTTCAACCTTCTTCCACTGTTGTCGACCTGGGGGCTCCTCGATCTCTTATCACCACTTCCGCGCCTGACAGCTACTGACCCACAGTCCACAGACGCCGCGTGGGCTCGGCTGATATGGAAGTTCTCGGGTCATTATTTTTTGCAGGATAAATGAACGCATTATTAGCATCTGGTCAATACTTTGGCAATTTGGTGCCTCAGATAAAGGCGCGTCCGAATCTGAGAATGGGCTTAATAAACGCCCAACGTACCAATGAAATAATTCAATTCAAGGTCAAGTCTCGCTCCGTTCCAACGTATAACATAACGAACGTACACATGCACCCACATTGACTGCATTTATTGAAGTCTGGATGGCCATGGTAGACCTGGACAAGCAAGGTGATCACGGAGCAGCCTGATGGGCTTCTCATTTAATTTTGCAGATTCGCCCCATGTAGGACAAGAGACTATCGAAAAAAGCTCCTATCTCGCGGTTGAGTGCAGCACACAAATTAGGATTAATAGGATATACCGCATATAGTACGGTCGCTATGAATGACTTTTAGGTTTCCCATATTGACAAATACAAGATCAGCTGCATCAGGAAATACACATGTCCCGATTTTTCTCTACGACGAAAGTAAGATAGTTTATATTCGTAGTTTTCGTCTTTTTGCATTGTTATTAATCCTACAATACATGTTTTTAGCTCCGTAAACCCAAATTCTGCAAGAACGTAATCATGGAGCTTTGGTTCTCCCTGATATGGCTTAGAAGATTTATTAACTTTTCCTGTAGTAAATCTTCGTCAATTACTGTAGAGAATTAATGTAAAATACGGAATTTTTCTTCTGATGAAGATGACTAAGAGCCTGGTAACTCTTACAACGAAAACATGATGGCGAACGGTTGATTTATTTTTAATATTGTAAGCTACTGGCTCGAAGAATAGAAAGGTACTGGGAAGTGGACACTGTCCCAGTTAACCCCAGACGAATTGTCCGATATTATACCCAAAACCCCCATTTTGGAAATATTTGGCTGCCACTTAAATAATAATAAATCAAGTTATTATTTATCTTAATTATTTAATTTGAATGAATTATTCAGCAATTAATCATACATTCAAGCTTTAGTTTGCAAAATATGCACTCCTACTACATATAATACGAAAAAAAACATTACTTAGAACAAAATATTGCTCACAGGGGAATGCAGGACCGGGCAAAACGTCTCTCTGCTACTTCAATCAATGCACTAACTTGTGTGCTATTACAACCTTATACTAAAGTAATCGCCTACCTTATACTGTAGTATACCTTTCAATATTATTTCTAAGTATATCAAATAATTGACGTGTCCCTTGGAGCCCCCATATCCCATTGTATCCCTCTCCCCATATCTCCTAGTCCCTACTCTGATCTTCTTTTCACACACGTTTCACTGGTTCCAATTTCTTCAGCGTCTGTCAGCTATTCTCTCAGTCAAGCCGTTCACACGCTTCTCCGTAGCTAAAAAGGTTAGGGTTCTCTCTAAGGATGTGACTCGATCTTAGGTTCTCCCGTCACATCTAAAAATTGTCCCAATTTACACCAAGCCCTTTTTCATCCCTAATACAATTGCATTCATACAATAAATTTTTTACACCAGTATCATCACGACCAATTGACCTTTAGTTTTACAGTTCTTTCACTCTCTTGTGGCCTTTTTAGCGCATTTTCTCATTTTTGGAAAAAAGGCGCTATTTTGCTCGTCATGTCCGTCAGTCTGTCCGTGACTTCACGGACGGACGAAAAAATGCGCTCTCTGTCACTCACTGCAGTTGATTTTTTAGTAGTTACATGTATATTAACAACCTATCATTCCACTCGTCAGGTACATATTCTCAATCAGTTCTAAATTGATCAGTTTGTCAATTGCTCCGACGCCGCCATAGTTATACGTCTCATACTGTACGTATATGGGTCTCATAAGGTTAATTTCCACGTTTACCACGAAAAAAATTATTTAAATGAAATATTCTCAAAGATTGCTTCAGTATTTCCAAGCACTACTTCGTGTTCCGCTGTCTTTCTTTTCTTAAAAATAGAACGGGTGCCACAAGACGAAATCTTTTCTGTTCGAGAAAGTCTAATTGCACGACTAGTATTGGAATCACGCCAAAAATATTAACCAGGCAAAACAATATCATCTCACACGAAAGCTGTTTGTTTCTCAAGAAAATATTGCGCTTGGAAAATTTATTACAACAATTCGTTGACCGCCCCAGGTGTGGCTGTGGGTTCTGGCGTCCGTGATCGCGGTGGGAGGGACCGCTGGGCTACTGCATCTGGTGCACTCCTACATAAGGTCACTTGTAAATCATTGTTTATTTGAAATAAGCTTATGAGTGGCTTTTAATAATTCAAACTCACTTTATTACTCTTTTATCAATTACAGTTGATATTGCTTTCATCGAGATTCCACTATAAATAACCTGATGTAAAAAAACACTTTGTATTCGCTACATTGGCAATTATTTTCTTATTTTGCATTGTGGTCCTTATGACTAGCAACCCCCAACAATTCATTGACAATTTAACAAACTCAAATCAGGGCCCAGTGACCATGCACCAATAGGTGTTATGTTGCCGATGCTGTTGTTTCGGCCGCTCAAAATCCACCTCGCAGCTTTCAAAACACAATTTTTTTTACTTTTCACAATACAGTTTCTTCACACTTTAATTTCTTCTATTAATTGCACCATTTTGCTTCACGTCTTTTCGCCACTGACCAACATCTTAGAGGCCTCACCAGGTTTCAGTGACAGGGAGAGCTACCCCCTATGATTAATTAGCATATTCTACTTAATAATGACTAGTGGTATGATCATTTATTGATGCTATATTCAGCAAAACCATATTGAAATGACCGGCAATCTCAAACAAGAAAACAATATAATAACAATTAAAAAATAATACAAATTACTTTGGGGGCTTGAGAGTATTTTAGAGGGGCTAAAGCCCCCAATAATGAGCTAAATGACGCCCTCCCCCAAGCCATCCGTTGCCACTACACCTATTTCTTCTCATATTGCCAATTGAATTTCATCTCATTACTTTCTATACATATCGCTCTCCATTGCAAGTTTAAATGGAAAACGGGAATCAGATTTTATTTTTTCTGCATTAATTTAGATTATTAATCGATCTATGTTTTCAATGTTTTTTAGCTTATATCGCAAAGTCAAAAATCAAATTCATGGCAGACATTTTCATTGATATTTTACGACGCTCCGAACCTTCAATATTATTCTCAATGAAATCGAAAACTTCCGGCGTTTAAAAATGTGGATTTTTAATGATCACCTGCACGAGAATTTGGTTTGCTGGACACGTTTGCTGGAATTGGGTTTGCTATTCACTTAATGCTGACCAATATTAAACTAGGCTCTTTAGATCCGAGTAAATCCATGAGCATTTCCCATGCCTTATTTTAACGTGACATGATTTGTATTAGTTTTTTCCTTTAATTTAATGTGCAACAATTTCAATTTGTCTTGATACTTTTTGCAGAAACTCGCATCTCAAATCCAAACAATCGAAGTGGGTGATGTTCTCACGTGGCTTGACCTGGGCTTGGAAAACCGTCCTCGCACAAGGTAGAACTATCTTAACAACCATCATATGATGTAATCTAAGCAATCACAGTATATCTTTTTGTTTTGACACTTTCGTTTACATTTTCCAATTTACTTTTTCCATGTTCTGTTGTATTCAAAACCTCGTAGGCATCAATTTATCCGCAATAAGTAATTTTAAGCGTTAGTTCGGCGAGACAAAACACACAGGAACAACACAACTAAATATAGGAACAACACAACTACATAGAGACTACAAATTGATCTGATTTTCGCGTTATATAGAAGATTATTTACTATTTATCAAAGATATGAATATTTTCTGTAAATTATTTGCGTTCTTAATGCAGATCCATCTGATTCGCCTGGGGAGCGCTCCGGACGACTGCTTTCTACATTGTGGCTCATCAATTGCTTTATGATCATTAACATGTACCAATGCAACATCACAGCCATCTTGATCAACGACAAGGTTTTGTAGATTATCGCATAAATTCTCATTATATCACAGAAAATACAATATACTGATTTCACATTTATCTAAAATGATATCTTCAACATTATTTTTCTTCAGGTTAAACTGCCCTTCACTTCAGTCGAGGATTTTGTGACGCAGAAAACATACAAGCTGACTTGGATTAACGGACAAATATACAGCTCTTTTTTTCAGGTAATAAAAATAGTTTCAACAGTTCTTTTTAGTTCTTTTTAACTAAATTATAGTTTTCATCTTGTGTCGGATAAATAAGAGGCTTAAGTACGTTGCTCTCTGCATGTAAAGGCGAATTTTGTAAGAATTATTTTATTATTGAATAAAAACGCAATATAGTTATACGAAAAAATCCCTGATTCAAAAATGTGTGTGAGCTTGCATTTTTTTTCCTGAACATAATGAACCTATGACCTACGTAGGCAGTTAATATACATGCTTTAATTTGAAATTTATGGCCTCCCACTCTCGATCTGGAGCCACAATAGTCTGTAGCTTTCAATGTTCAGGAGTATGCCGTCAATCAACCGGACCTTCCCTTGGGCAAACTGTGGGGCATGAGAGATGACTATCAACCTGATGCCAACCATGTCGTCAGCACTGTGATGACGGAGAAGGTTGCAGGTACTGAAAAAGAAGTTTTTCAGTACCTCATGTCTTGTCCGTGCTCAGCTCCAATAATAAAAATAAAATAATTTTTAATAGAATCGAACTTTAACATTTTGCATGAATTTGTTAGATTCGGTTTTGATCAATATAAAAGTTAAAGGTGAAAAGCATTATGGACAACAAATGCAGTTTATTTTTTCATACGTCAATTCAAAATACGCACGGTTTAATTACTACCAACTTTATGAATGACCCAACTATGGAAGCCAACTTTTCGAACAACGAGCAAAGCAAGTTTGACAAAATTTCAGCTCTAAGTGAAACAAGCAGTCTGTGTACTTACAGTTGTCGCTGCGAGATGGCTTCAGCGGGGATTCATGGCAGGGGATTTTTCTGAGGTAAGCTTTAAATTTATTTTCCGAATTCCTCAAACGATGAATATTTTTATGCAGCCAACCAATTGTGAAATTTTGCGGGGACAAAAGCAAAGTAAAACTTTATAGATCATTGCGTTGTTTATTACTTATGATTATTTATGACTATATATGCGTTGGTAAATTACAAATAATGTATCCCAGTCGAATTTTAGATTCCATTCAGGGTCGCGTCAGACTCCATCGACTCGGCTTAGAGGTGAATTAGGTGCAAATCGGCCGCCTACCCTATTCGGCAGGAAATTAGGAGCTTATTACTGGAGTTGATTGCACGATGGGCCGAATCTGTGTAATATAACCGAAAAGAGCAGCTGGTCAGGCTGTCTCATGTAAGACGCTAGTATTTGAGCGAACTATGACCATCACCCGCTCATGGAATGGCGTCGATGTATGTATAAGCGTACGTTTGTTAAGGCATACGATGAAACGAAATAAGAATTGTCTTTACCAACTTTTTGAGCTTACGTAGTAGTTAGATAGTGTTTTTACTAAATACAGGACAAACAAATCTGAATTTATTTTGCTATATTTAAAAACCACAGGCTGCTTGAAGGCATGTATATATGATTTAGGGGCGCAAGAGACGAAAAATACTTGATAATTACGTAGCAGTAAAATAATTAATGCTTGTAGCTCTAAGAGATGAATTTCAAATACGGGGAGGTGTACATGTAGTCGCTCCTACCATCCTTGACTGGAATTGAGCTCCAGTAACGCTTAGTTTTGTATCCTTGCTACATTGAGTGCCTATGCGAGGCACGCGGGACTTTGTCGCGCCCTCCTGAACATTCACACTTTTTGTCACGGCAAACCTATCTCTTCCTAGAGTTTTGAAGCTACAGCAATGAGACATATACCATTCGATTCGTAATAAAAAGATCTAGCGGTTATAGTGCCATTTTTTTCGATTTCGTTTTAGTTTGTATTATATATTGCAAAATGGGGGGGGGGAAATTTCGAAAATTCTAAATTTTTCAGAAAAATCATCATAACAAGAGAACCAAGAAAAAAAATTGACAAAGTGGCCCGACAATCGCTAGATATGGTCTTTACGCATCGAATGTTACGTGTTTCGATGTTGTAGCATGTGATTTGCAACAGCTAAAACTTTTTTAGAGTACCCCCCTTCTTGGCCATTTTCTATGAATTTCACGTTTTCTTTAATTTTTTCGAAAAATTTACATGATCAAAATAATCGTCATTTTCGATTTTACATGTGTGTACCAAGTTTGGAGATGATCCTTCCCTAAATATAGAAAATAGATTTTGACCGACACGGTTCCCTTAAAAGTTGTATTAACTGAAATTATTCCCGGTTCAATTTCGTGTTTCCTTGCCAGTTGCTTAAATAAGACACGATGATACATTTTTCATTTTTCCGTCTAGTCTGCACATACGTATATAAAGCGTACAACGATTCAAATGCCCCTCCTTTTCGCCCATTATATGGGGGGAAGGGATAGGACATTTTTTTAAGTACTTCTCAGATTCGGCCGCGTCCATGCCGAAGCTATCAGGTGCTATGCGCGCGCTCGACGATCGCCCAAAGTTCGCTCGGTCTGTGTCCAGATTCTAGTCAGGCGCTTATTTCGTTCGTACAACCAAAGCGTAAAGCGGACATAGAGCTGCTAATTGAATTTAGCTAACCATCCTCAAAATTTTCATAGGGATTCGCATGGATACGGATCGCGTGAAATTATTCACTGTTAGCAGAACGTTACGACTCGCACTGTCAAATATCGTCATCTACCTATTCTAGCAGATGCGATACCTTACATACCCTTTTACCCCTTCACAGAGTCACTAACCTAGCTTGGGTTGCCACGAATGCAAAATAGGATAAATGCTCTCGTATGTCATGACTTACACAACGCACTTGCGTCGGATAAGATGCGGATTTATCGGGTAAGATAAACGGGAGAAATTCTCGCGTATATCATGACTTGTACAATGCACATGCATCGGATAAGATGCGGATTGAGTCTCACAATAACCAAATATGTACATGTAGAATGGCTCGAGCTATAAAGTAAAAAAAAAACAACCTAGGAAAATAATTAAAGAATTCTTTGACAAGCAATACATGCAAATAAACAATCTGAGAATTTCAAAATTTCTTCTCCTTTTTTTTTCTTTAAATGTTTAGTTATTAGTTTTGAACTAGTGATTCAAATTGGTGAAAAGGAGTCCAGAACGGATTGATCTTTGGTGAAAATATGATTAATTCAATTTATTTTTTCAATATATTTGAACTCTTTATTGTCGTACATGACATGACCTTTTACCTGGCATATAACATAACATAACATAGTGATCTCGGCGCTGCAGTGTAGGCCTGATGTGGCCTGTCGCCGATTCTTTTCCTTTTCGTGCCTTGTTCACAGAAGATCTAAAATCGTGTCATTTGACCGTATTTTTTCATGACTGACGATAGTTTGAAGTAGCTACTCGACTTCCACCGGGTTCGATATGGTGCTAGGCATTTCAAATCTGAACATATATTTTTCCATAGCTTTATCTAGTCTGTTCTTGAACGCGTTCATACTTGGAGCGCCAACGCTGTCATCGGGGAGGCTGTTCCACATGTCGGTGATTCGAAGCGAGAAGAAATTTTGTCGCGTGGAGAAGTTGCAGCGTAGTTTTTTTAGTTTATAGCTGTGACCCCTGGTGTTGGTTCTTGTTTCAAATTCTAGTAATCCTATAGCTCTATAAAAAATTTAAAATCGGCTTCGCGCCCAAGTTGTGTGAATGGTTTTGGCCTAATTTCTAAAAACCTGTAAACTGGCGCCTTCCTAAAACGACACACTTTATACAAATTTATCATTCTATTCGATGTCGCGTGCAAACTGCAAAGCTTCTGCAACTGCTGAAATTCTGTTTGGTCCAGTTGACTTGCTGTCATACTCAAATTTAAATACAACTTGCTTTTTGAATTGTCTGCCTATTTACGTCATTGAAGCTAAATGTTGCCGTTAAATAAATACCGTTTTGATACGCGTGAGAAAACCCTTCTTTTGTTCTCTTCCCCTCGGGAGTTGTATGCATGCGCTCACAGTTACGAGATCAGTGCTCAGACTATATTATTGAATATTTTTTTTAATAAATCGAATACTTGCATAGAGTACAAATTATCTCTATTTCTGTAATAGTTTTCGTTAATGCAGATATTGTAAAGATTAAACTAAAATTCATCCTTCATTCCCACATTCAAATTAACTATAAGCCATGACGGGTTTCTCCCTTCGAACGTTATCTAACCCCAAAGCAACTACAAAAATTTGCCTGAATCCCCTTTTTTCTCTCATTTCTAGAGATACCGCACGCACGTAAAAACACGCACTCGAACATTACCCTATTATTGCAGAGCACCATTTCGCATAACTCACGTCTTTACCATCTCAGCACTAGTGCTCTAAATTTCTATCGAATTTATAACTCAAGTAATTTATTAATCCACCCTCAAATACGTTCTATACAGACTACAATGATTGCTCATGAGGCTGAGGTTAACTTGGTTGTGCACTGAGTGGTGGTGTCTGTATTGAAGCCAATATTCATTGGGTAGAGATATTTGAATATTCTTCTTGTCTTTACCATATCCTTGCCACTTGGTAGATGTGTTCCCAGGTGTAGCGTCCTTAAGAAATGCAGGTCTAAGAATGACTTATGAGCGGCAGTTTCAGAGCGGCAACCAAGTCTTTAAAAGTGGTAATATTTCAGCTTCATGCAACTTCAATGATGCAAAGGATAAATTTTTTGTCTTCTCTGATGGTGTTATCTCTTTGTCTACCTTAATTTACTGCTGATTTTTTTTCCAAACGAGGAAAGCGCAACAACAATTACATATTTTTATTAATTCAATTTTGAATTATTTTATGATGTTGATTTTAATTTCTACTGCTATTAAGTGTGAGTTCAATAAATTTGTAATGTAATTTTTGTTTTGACCAGGACCTGATGGGACTGATCGCGTTCAAAAGAAAGGAATGACCAAAAGTTTACAGTTGTCTGTCGTTGAAGTGCAGCACTCCAGAGCAAAAAGAAAACAGCGTGATTAAATAATTGATGTGATGAATGATTTCCCTAAATGTGTAAATTTTCGTCAAAATTTAATTTATCTCTGCCAGTTTCCGGATGAATTTGAGATTGAACGCACGAAATAAATAAGATTTTTCATTTCTTAATCTTAGACCATTAGCTTCATTTTAAATTATTATTATTATCGGCTGTTTGTTTTTCAATTATTTACCTTTTTTTATATCATTGCCTGAGCATATTTTGCAATAACACCTTAATCACTCAACCAAGATTTCGCCATTACTATTAATTCTCATTGAGTAGCATAAAAATTTTACCGATCCTCATTTTCGAAATAACTATAAACTCGTCATTAGATACAGCAAAATATTCCCTCTTTTATCATCAAATTCTATGCCACTGTTAGGAAGTTATCAAAAGTGGAAGCAACATCAACTTTCATGAGACACTAAGTTTAACTCTTAACTTTGCTAAGAGAAACCACATGTTAGGAGCAGTTGTAACGTTTAAAGTTGGCCCAGCAAGTTCGATTTTGTTCTAGCATATACGATGTATATACCGATCCATAATAACGACATCGTAACGCATTCTTTGGCAGTTTGGTGAGTGTCGCCTGGCGTTGGCTGAAGCGAACTCATTGCCTCCCGTGTACATGACATACGGCTACCCCAAAAACTCCCCTCTTCAAGTCAAAGTTGACATCATGTGAGTAAGGGTGCAGACAATAACATGACATACGGCTACCCCAAAAACTCCCCTCTTTAAGTCAAAGTTGACATCATGTGAGTAAGGGTGCTGACAATGACATTGCATACGGCTACCCCAAAAACTCCCCTCTTTAAGTCAAAGTTGACATCATGTGAGTAAGGGTGCTGACAATGACATTGCATACGGCTACCCCAGAAACACACCTCTTTAAGTCAAAGTTGACATCATGTGAGTAAGGGTGCTGGCAATAACAATACTTCCGGCTAATCTACAGACTCCCCTCTTCAAGCCAAAGTGTACTTCATGTTAGTAATGGATTATGACTATAAAATTTCATGAATTTCTTAACGACGATTTCCCGCAATTAGCAGGGTATGAGAATGGTATCGATAGTCTAATTGTGATAAATAGCTTCGACTTTCAAAAAAAATCATATGAATGCGAATGAATAAAAAATGGATTTATTGTATAAATTATTACAAAATGGTACTTTCCAGGCTTCTTCGAGTGGTTCAATCCGGCATAGCAGGTAATTTGCTGTCCAACAGCCTCTGGAACTCGTCGTGGTGCATGCGGCCCCAAACAAGCCTTAGCGACTCGCGGCCTTTGGCCGTCACTGACTTCCTTGGACTTTTCGCAATCTACGGATTAGGTAAAGTTTTAGGATATACCCCCTCCTGCGTTTCCCAGCTATTCCAGCAACAATCGCGAAGATTTCAGAAAACTTTTTATTCATTCATTATGATTGTCAGTTGTATCTGAAGCTGAAAATGGAAGTATTTTTCTGATAAATCGTTTGTATTACTGATAATCCGATCCTGATATGATGGCTCAACTGATGCTCTGAAGTATCAACTAAAATTTACCATACGAATTGCTTCCAAACGTCATCATATACATATAATACACGGTGTGCGTTACATGAAATGATCTAATCTAAAATCTAATATAGTCGATTATAAACACATTAAATGCGCCTGATAGTTGGTACTGTTTATCCAGGATCAATGAAATGTACTGCCAAAGTATATTAATTTCTGAGTCTTATAATGAGAGTTATTACTAGCTGAGCCTGGCTAGCAGGCGAGTAAATGGCCAGCCCTGCATGGTAACTTCAGTGTGCTTCAATGGGTGGACCTGGTAACTGAATGTTTGATGATGGATTAACCTGGTAACTAGGAATGATAATGGATCCATCTAGTAACTAGGTATGTCAAAGGCTGAACCTGATAAGTATGAGTGTGTCAATTCAATAGCATAGATTGGTTAAAGTAAGTGTGTTAATAACTAAATCTGGAGCTAGATTGCGTCTTAACGGCTGTGGCTGGTCACTATATAGGTGTGCCAATGGCTGAGATTGCTAACTTAAAAGTGTGTCGATGGCTGAGCCGGGTAGGATGAAGTGCGTTGAAGGCTGAGCCTGGTACTTAAAATGTATGTCGATGGACGAGCATGGTAACTATAGATGGTTTAATAACATTAAGCCTATCAATTTATTAGACTGTCTAGCAACGGTTATGCCTCGTAACGATAAGGTTTGTCGATGGCTGCGCCCGGTAGCTATTTTCAGCGCCCTCTGAGCATTATATATATTCAATATTTTTATTCATATTTACGTCAAACCATATTTCTTAGCATTTCAACTTCTATAAAACCATGTTTGACTAAAAGCATTTCCAACACCATGCATTAAATCATAACTGATGAGTATACCCCGCTGCTCAGGTATGATACTGGCTTTACTGGTGTTCATCGTTGAAGTCGCAACGGGCCGGGACTTCCAGAGCAGGAAGAATGAATGAGAAGACTGGAAATGGACGATGGTCAATTACTACTCAATTCTACACAAACCGTTATTATTTACTCGATTTTATTTGCAGAATCCGTTTATTTAAATGTGCATTAAATCCCAGATTAATATTTTTAAATTTTCTATTCTTTCGTTGAAATTTGTGATTTCTTCTCACTAATTGAGTCGTTATGCTTGATATCGTGTGGTCTATGTGAAGTTTACACAAATATTGATGAACAATCTCCACTTTCCAATACCATAAATTGCGGTAAAGACAAAGTCATGAGAGTTCTTGTTTGAGATTCTCCTTTTGATATCAAAGAATAATCCAGGTTTATTCTAAATGATGGACTCCATTCAATAAATTTGTATTTATTTTGACATAGATTCAAAATTAATAATTGTAAGCACCAATGGAAGGAGAAAGATTCAATTTTTAACCTATTCAGACGTGGAATTGGGCGGCGGCGGCTTGGCGGAAACGGCCGCCAAGATTCTCTCGCAAGCCAGCCGCCTTTATGTTTGTTTCTCTCTCACCTGTGATTGTGATGGCTACTCTGCAGCACAATATTTTCTGCGTTTATGAGTTTGCTAAAAGTGAGTCGCAAGCTACAGTGCAGCGGGCATTTCATCTCAAATTTGGCATTGAACAATCTGGCATGGCTGGCGAGAGGACGTATATAGAGCGGCCGTTTCTGCACGCGAACGCTGACGGTCGTCGTTTCCGCCGCCGCCGCCCAATTTCTCGTTTGAATAGGTTAAAAAATTTTAATCTTTATTTGTCCATTGGTGTATAAATTATTCATTTTTGAATTTATACTGATATACGAAGTTATTATATTGAGTGCATCATTTAGAATAACTCGGTATTACTTCTTGGTTTCTCGCGTAGGATGTGACGAAATTTTTCACATGTAGAAGCGCTTGCCTCAAAACAGTTTACTCGCGTGCCTCGCAGGTCAGTTCAAAGCGAGAGTTGGACAAGTAACGTTTCCTACGGGGGACATCTTAAGCATATTTTACAGGAACGTGAGGACAGATCTGCGTCAGAGCTGGCCGCTTTTCCCGGCCTGACTCGTGGCTTGGAGTGAGGGGCTGGTGTCGCAACTATTCAAACACTCAACTAGATTATTTTCATAGGGATTATTGATACCGTACTTTGATGCTGCGCGAACTCACTCTAAATTAATTCGTTAATTACACTAACCAACCCCACTGTGACATGTCATGGGCACTAACCAACTCGTGAGTGATGTACGTGTCAATGGCACTTTCACTCCCAAGTGAATCGACAAGTTCACCAACACGTTTGAGTTGGATAAATCAATGTCATCAAAAAAATTACATGACACATCTGGAACTCTAACCAACTTTTACTTGATGCACTGTTGAAACTAAACCAATCCAATATGATATGTCCGAGGCAGTAAAAACGCCCCCAAATCTAATGTTAATTTTACCAATTCCCAATGAAGGATTGTTCAGTCGAAGAGCAGTTGACGCGGACTTTCATCCTCTTCTGGAGCACCAGCACCAATTAATGAACAGCAGGAATTTACTGATATTTCTCAAATACGCACTACTTAGTGGGGTCCTATAATGTATGCCACGATTTGATTTTTGAGAAAATTGTTGCTTTTCTCCATGATGAATGGAATTTAGGCTTAACTTCGGAAAATTAACTGCATAATCCACTTAGTAGGCGGATATTGTGCGAGGAAACGCGATAATATTCAACGGAAAATTGATTCCACAATATTTTGTGGAATGATTAATGAGTTCTTTATATATCACATCTTGCTCAAAATTCTGATAGGACTAGAAGTCTGCACGCACTAGGTTCGAGAGGTTTAAGATTTCTCACCTCTGATTGCGTTGAAGTTATTTCTCATAAATATCACTGTATAGAATAATGGAAAATAAACAACTAGTTATTGCCATGTACTTTTACTCATCCTATATTCATTGTTCGGCAGCAAACAAGCATTGTATGTATATATTCAGCTGATCAGACCACGAGTTCAAAATAGCTTGCTAGACATTTCATAATTTTGACAACCATGCCTATAGCAAATTTAATGAGATGCTAAAAGCATTATGACGCTCAAGTGTTTTGTTTCATTCGAATTTGTATACTGCTTTTTATTTAAGTATTGTCGTCATACACTTGTTCAGTAGAAGTTTCATTACCGAGTAAATATGTGATTCTGGAATGCATATTGTTGTAGTTTCCTTTCGTTCAACAGACCAACTTAAGGTAGAGGCTATAGCTCTATAAACTGATGTGATAACAGTCGGTGCATCCAAATATTCGGTGGGTTTTGGTCTTCCATTTGATAGCCATTTCATCAGGAACAAATGTTCCGCCGGTGCTGCAGACGTCAAGTGTTCAGGAGATAGCATTCTTAGTCTTCTTCGATCGGCCATGAGTCGTGACTTCGATGATGAAGACTGCCATGGCGAAGACAGTGCCTGGAGAACGAGAAGTGATTCGTCTGCAGTATGATGCGCAAAAAGTTCCGACGTCTAGATGAGTAGTTTAAACTTTTTTCCGTAGTTGAAACAATTAAAGGTTCAATGCGCCATCGCGACAATATGTTATCCCATAATGCATGCGTTTTGGACTGCAACTATATAATATTTTAACAAATTTTTCACCTGAAGTATGTCAACCCATGACTCTATTTAAAATTAAGCAGGGAACTGCACGCTAAAGCTCCGATAAAATCATTCAAGTAATTTGAAAAGGAGACTATTTATGTTTCAGCTGCATCTTATTTGACTCACCGATTGCGTAGATGAGAAAAAGACCAAAAAAGTCCTTGACGGCCAAGGGGCGTGACTCACTCAAATTTTTCTGCGCCTTCATGCACCAAGTCGAGTTTCCAAGAGCCTTGTCCTGAAGATGAGACGATATACCTGCCTGGATCACCCGAAGTAACCTAAATACGAAAGTTACGCTTAATAATACCCAGTCTCGTGCAATCGAATTCGTCCACTTCATGAGATAGACAAGACACTCAATGCTTCTTAATCTGTAATACTTCCCAATTGGCTGCTACTCAAGCCAAAAAGCTTATTGTTTATCTGATATTCGAATGGCAAATTATAAGTAAAATGTTATTCGTTAACAAGTTGGTCGGAAGTTCATGCTAAAACTTCCCTACAGCCTCACATCATGTCAAGTTGTTCTTTCAGAGGCGATTTCTTCGGGTATCCGTAGGTCATGTAAACGGGCACCATGCCCGTCTCCGCCAAGGCCAAGCGACAGTCACCTTGCTGGAGAGAGAATGATAATGTTTAAAGTAGCTGACGTACTGACTTGAATTCGAAGTATCTATTTCGCCAATCATTCAACGGATCCAGTAATGTAGCTTATGTTGCTCGGGTATTTTGTGTTATGTGTTGTTTCCCGTGGGGAATTTTTGTGGTTCAATTGTTTGGTGTCTCTGCTCTCATCAAGCCTTCCAGTACCTATTTTCTCGTGCTTCTATTGCTATCATTTTTTGTATTTCCTCATCATATCATCCTTTATAAAAGGATGGGAGACGCCATCATAAAATGGGAGACACCATTTAATTTAAGCACGGGAGACGCCTCCTTTAATTCGTGATAACTCATTTAAGATGCATTCTACATACCTGCGAGAAGTCAGTCGAGATGAAACTCAGCAAAATTACCCTCGGTGCAATTACTGAAAAAAAACATTAAAATTTTGTCATAATTCTTCATGCTATAACAGTTTTTCAAAATTGTTGCTATTCATCACAAAATCGAAAGCATTGTTGATCTTCCTAGTTATAAATTTGTGATACCAAGTTCTATGTTTTTTTGGTAAATAATTGGATTGAACGAGTTTTTTCTCAACATACATCAGATTATGATAATTATTAACGGGATTCGGGTAAACGGGATCCTATAATTGCACGGATTATTTACCCGGTTAATGCCAGGCAATCCTGCTAGTGTCTGATAAATTTGAAAAATCAAAGACTGAAAGTATAACATTTTCAAATTTTTGCACAAAGCGGTACAAGTTAAAACACCTGCGACTTTTCTGGACAAGGCTGTGTCGACAACCTCTTCAGTGGTCGGCACGAAGTCGTCCCTCTTGGCCCACAATTTCCCGTCGGGTACATCAGGCTCATGAATTGCCGTGTACTGAATAGAGAATAAAATGCTTGTGATTGCAGTCGATTTTATATTCAAGTGATCTTAGTGATAAATTTAGCGTTCGCGATTCTTTCAGCCGATTAATAAGCACATGTGTTGACTATCGATCTTGTGGGTTTAAAAAGAATGCTTAATCAATTGTAGAATAGATTACATAAAACTGCATGGCGTTTATTTTTTCGCAAATTTTGGAATATCATGCAGGCTGTGGAAGGTCAGTTAGATGAATCATAGTAAGATGTGGTACTAAACCTAGACCAAAATCCGCTTCGAAACTTATGTATTAGAGACCAACAGGTACTCTGTTGTTTAGCTTCCATCACAGTGGTCACCTTCATGGCGGTATCTACAAAAAGGGCTGAAGTTCTAATACATATGGTCGGCCCAAGCACACTTACTTTGCGCTTCCTTGCTCGGCGCCTACTTGCACCCAGTAGGGTAACATGGGGCAGCGAGCCCACTGCGGGTCACGGGCCCATAGCGGGTTTCTCGCTAAGTATGGCAGATATTGGTCCGTGTTCTCTACCGCCGGTCGACAGTGTGGGGCAATGGGCCCATTTTGACACTTTTTACAAAATAGTGTTTCATTAAAAATTGAATAACTCTATAGGCGTCTAATTCACATCATACATTCCTCATTAGTTGCACCTTTAAACAAAACAAAGAACCACCTCGTATCAATTAAAATTTCATCAAAAATTTAGTCTAAAAAAGTGGGGGGCGCGCTGCCCCACGTTACCCTACGTGTTTTAACATCAGAGCAAATGTTGCCTTCCTACTCCATTTTGTACAAACCAAACGACCCACGTAGTTTTCTTAAAAGTTTCGTTTTAATAAAAAAGTAAATGCAAAAATCTGTAATAATTTCAGCAGCGGCGCGTCACTAGTAATTAACTTATATTCTGAATTTAAACAGATCCGTTCAGAAATGAAGGAGTTTTGATTCGCTTAGTTGCGCAAAAGTTGCGTTCTTTCGTTTTAATAGAAAACTAAATGACGTAAAAGTCTAATAATTCTTCATCACCAGATTGCAAATACCTGTAATATTCTTAATTTCAAGCAGATCCGATCAGAATTGAAGGACTATGATTTGGGAAGTTGCGTAAATGTTGTGTTTTGAGTCTGAATCCGCTGGCGCGGATGAGTTCCGATAAGTGTCGATCCCGTCTAAACAATTTAAGCATCGTAAAGCCTTCCATATGAAATATTTTAGGTGCAAGTGAGCAAAGTGAATGTTGCGGCAAAACAATAGACTTTGAATATATCACGGAGCAAGCAGAGCATTTAAAGTTGATGATATAATAATGAACAAAAAAATGTATGATAGTCAATGATGAATGACCTTAAAAACAAAGTTTTAAATCAAACCTTCAAGTAGACAGGATAAATTGTGCCTTCTTGCCAGGTCAACTTGTATTCGTTCTGCTGCCCGAACTCCACAATAGAGTTGAACGGTAACTTGATCTGAGAAGAAAACGAGACTCAAGATTTGTGGGCATACAGATTATAAACATTTCTTCCTTATACAGATAATCACGAATTAGCTTTGACCAATGAAACCTTAAATTAATCGTTTAATTGCTCGAGTGCACTGCTTTTCCTTGTGATAAGAGCCTTAGGGATACATCGGATGATGTATCCTTAATGTATGATCCTTCGATCCTTTGTCATTGATAAGGATGGCTCTAAACTTCTAAAGTTACACCAGTGAATAGTCAACTAACTTTGTCATTGACGAGGATTGCTAGTAAATTACTCCGGTACATCAGGGAGAGCATAAATCCCATGAAAAGCCAGGTGGTGGCGAGGGCTCGGCCAGCTCCACTGTCTGGTGTGTCGGTCAAATCTGAAAACCATAATAGCCGATGAACTTCTGTGTGATAAATGATAATGACATTTTTCAAATTCACTGTCTTCTTGTAGCTTCTCTTTTTTATTGAATAACAAAGATCATTGTGCATTCCTATGTTCTCTAAATCGGTTCAATGGTATTAAAGAAGAGATTTAATTACCTTGCGACAAGAAGATTTTCCAAGTCCACGTGAAGCCTCTGGAGAACATCTCTGGAATCGGATGGCTGCCCTTGGAAGTTGAGCTGCATTTAGTCAGCCTATTGCAGGGAAATAAAATTTCTAATTTAATTATTATTCGTGTGAAAACATACAATTGTAAAAATTTTATGTTCTCATGTAAGAACGCAGAAATGTCATTTCCAATTGATAATATTTTGAAAATTTAAGTGTTGCTCTCATCGAGCCCAACAATTGACTAATATAAAAAAATCCGTTAAAGAAGCCATGTACAGTATATCAGGGCCTTTCATCTCACATAGTTGGTTTTAACCTGAAAATTTACTCATCTTTGGTAGTTTTCGTGCAACCTAGAAACCTTATATAGCCTTATCATTCAGAACCTCAAGTAAGAGGCTGCCAGATGTAGCATGCCGGCAAAGGCTCCCACTATCAGCATTGATGCTACCACCCACGCCCAGACCTGCCGAATAACATCCCAAGTTAAACATTTCACATAAAGGAAATGATATGGAATTCAAAAATGAAATAATTTCCTCTGAATTCATTTCATTTTAAAAGTTAGTAAAGTTTGTCAGTCATTCATGTGTAGAGAGATCTGAACAAGATATGCGTGAGTGTCAATACACATGTAGAAACGTATCAGTAGGACCTCATTATGACCAGTACCTCCAGTACGAATGGTTTGGATAATGTAAAGATGTCAGGTTGAATTTTCGTGATTCTTTTGTAGAGGAAACCGTGTTCGTTGAACATGTAGCCTGGTGCGTAGTCGAGCACTTCCGAGCGCGTATTGTGCTGGGCTACTGGACCCATAACCAAGTCAACCTCCTACACAAGAAAATAATTATAATTTTTTGTGGGTGCTAACCACCCCTCCTGCACAAACAACGGGTGAAATATAACAAAAGATTGCATTAATATTATCCTTAACAAAAGGGATAATAATGACCGTTTGGAATGATTGGCAATTTTTTTCAATATATGCAGAGTTCTTTTTCAACGCTGAAACCGCTATATAAGATCTCGTTCGTGGTTCATTTCTGTAGATAAAATCTTTAAAATTGAGAATCAATGATACGGTAGTCAGAAGAAACGGATTTTAAATCGTATAATATAGCAGTTTACCAGGAAAAAATCTTTGTTCAAATTTAAAGAGTATTATAACGAAGTTTTTTACAAATATGTTTTTCATTGGGTCCTTAACTGTCGCTGGAGCATGCCGACTGCGCCGCTGTACGATCCATTCACTGCAGTCCCCAACACGGGTTCCGGCGACAACTCCAAGTAATAACTGGGCAAAAAAATCTCGCAAACATTTCTAATGGAGAGGTTTCTCGTGAACTGAATTTCCACGCATTATGATATCAAGGAACAAATTTTAATAAAAAATTAATTAGTTGCAGAGCCTACTTCTCAATTGACACATTTAAACTTGTCATATACTCACCACCATCCCAGGTACTGCATCATTATCCTGAAAATTTCGATGTGGGCGCCGGTGTAGGGCTTCTTGCTGAGGTCTACGATAGCTTGCGACCACTGCAACAAACAAACATCATCATTAGATTTACATAAACATTAATATCGGTACCATCACTACTTGAAAAGAAAGTGGAGTCAAGCTCATTTTTTAATTATATTGGGACAAATAATTATCGTTTGAGTAAAATTATGGACATTGAACGAGAAGCCACTCAAGTTCGCAACGGGGACGTTGTTGATAATTATTCTGTACTTTTAAATTTAATATTGAGCGATAACTATAGTTTTTCTGGTTTCATGGTTAAAATCAAAACATTCGCCAGCGATATAAAATAAATTAAGAAATTTCTAGAGTTTGATGAGAATTCGATTTACATATAAATAAATTTATTTTAAAAACACCTTTATGTTTAGTGGTACAATAATACTGGTGCCAATGATTAAATGTATTCTCTATTCACAAATGCTATTTTAGTTGAATAAAGCTGCATTCAAAGTTAACTCCGTATGTATTAACTTTCAACCTTAATCGGCTTCCTATTCATTACAATGAATTCAACTATAACATACCAATTGAAATTTTCCTGAGGAAAATTTAAAATTCGTAATTCGTAACTTGTATGGTCGCGAAACTTGCACCCAGAACAGTTACCTCTGTGAACAAGGTAAAATAAATCTATTTACAAGTTAAAAAGAACTCCATGTACAAAGTATAAAAGAAATCCATACACAAGGTATGAATTTGAATAAAATTCAAAAATCGTCACTCACGGGGGTCATCGCGGCGATGATGCATCCCGGCGTGGGCTCGAAGGCCTCGAAACTCTTGCCGGTGGGGGAGTTGGGGATGGTCCACTCCCTCATGAGCCACACGATGCAGCACGTCTCCGTGAACTAATGTTACGCCCTTCTTTGAGTTAAGTGAACGTTTCTAAGCGATTTATTAGTTACGGTTCAGATAAAGTTTAATTTGTGAGCAGTCCAACACGCACAGCCAGAGTAAATGCATGGTGGTAATTATGGCACAAAATTAAAACATTTCAACATTTACAAAAATGCGCTATACACATATTTCCCTCTTCTACTATCATTTATCTTTCTCCTTCGTTTTTCGTGGCCATCTCTTTGCGCCTTCGTTTTTCGTGGCCACTTTGTGCCATCTCTTATTTTTTGGTCACTCCTCTAGTGGCCTCCATCACATTCTGTACTAAGGTTATGAGGCCGAAGCCGCGGCTCCCGGCAAACGTTCTGTCACATGTGTTGCGCTGTAATTTTGTCTTCTTCATTGGGTTTCTCAAAGAAATTTGGACGGTTTTTGGATCTTTTTGGCAAACGGTGATGAGAAAATAATAATTTTGTATTTAAAGGTGCTTCATTCTTCAAGCGAACGCTCGGATTTGTGCTAGATAATCTCTCGTGGTAATGATTTTTCAGAACGAGTTACTTAATTTGTGAAGTATTAATAACTTTTCCATCCAATAAAAGCTATATTATTAAAAATGGGCATTTGTAAAATGTCAAAACTCTAAAATCCTTTCTACCTTAACTTTAAAATACAAACGTTGTAACTTGCCTAATTTTCACCCTAACAAAATTTAGATGCTGATGCAGTAAGTGCCACTGCCGCCTAGGACTAGTGGAGTGCGTAAATTAACCACTCTATGTACGCTTTCTGCGCAGGGTTTGAAGAGCAGCCTCTGATCAGATTGCAAGCTCGTTATGACGGCACAGCCTACTTTTTTCATACTCTCAGGCGACTATAAAGTGGGAGAAGAGTTTCTGACCAGAAACTGATTTTGATCGGCAGGCCAAGCAGACCCTGAATTACTTGCAGCCGATTGTAGCTACTATTCGGCTGAATTTTGAAAGGGCATTAAAATGCCACAGAAGTTATTAGTAATAAACGCTTAAAACCAGCTAACTGAAGTGAAATTTTAATCGCACACTCAGTATCTCTTCTGTCAAGCCTACTTAAAGCAACAGCAAATACGCTTAATCTTAAATAAGCTTGGCCTATTTATGAGCATAATTTCAAGTTAAAACCTATGTCTCGCAGAAAAAAATTTACGTGCATATTTTGCTGATCATGTCCACACTGCAAGCGTAGATGCAAATTCCGATTTCTTTTTTATTGAAATCTTGTGTATCGCAAGCTACGAAACACTCCTGTGACTAGCTTACCTTACCTGTTTGAACAGTAAAACTATAAATTTTCTCAATTTAGTAATTTTCAGTGAGATATAATTGTTGGTGTAAGATGGCCGATATTTTTGTTGATTAAATGGGGAACCAGCCTAGCCTCGTTCTCGAGAATTCATGCGTCGCGGGAAGTGGATTAATCAAAGTAAACCTTTAACTGAGTATCATTAGTCTGCTGTTCAACGAAGCACTTTAAGGCAATTAAAATCCCTATATTATTTAAACTCCTCCATTGAGTCAATAACCAGCAGAAGATGTGATGAGCATAACGTGTTGCACATTACAGTTGTACACGGCACATGAGCTCTGAGCATGACATTTTCTGAAATTCACTGTAAAATTCAGTATGTCAGCTTTTGCATTTTGTTGTTAATATAACAGTATTCATTAAAACAATTAAATCCATTAAGTCTTATTTACGTGCACATCAATGAACATCGCTCATTAACATTAGGTATTTCACAAATTTTCACTTTTTTACGTTGGATTTGTCGATAAACTTTCTTTGAAGAGCGTGGTTTTCAAATCCTACTCAGGCAGCCATAAAATCATCCTCTGCTGTTTCTTCGGGCAGGCATGCTTTTATATGAAAATTTAGTTGATCTATCATTAGATTAACATCATAATATTGTTTCATTTATAATGACACGTTAATTTTTGAATAGTAACTTTTATGTTACTTCTAACACGCCCTTAACTAGCCAAATGCGTGGAAGATGAATTGTTCACAAGTTGCGACAAAGCCTGAATGGCAACGCAGAAAAATTATTTGCTAGATGCCGCCGCACTCAATGGCATTCATATATTAATCGAGAGCAACATTAACAGACGGAAACCCAGACTAACTGAAATATTTTGTCCTAGGCTCCTAGGTTTCATGAATATTAAATTAAATATTCTCTTCTGTAATAGAATTCAACTTTTTCTTGAAAATCAAAATTAGAACATTCTGAACATTTTTGCATTAAAGGTCGCACGATCACTGAACTGCATTACAATATTAAATTCTCCCTTCCTCATACTTATGCTTCTAGATGCATGGTCTCCCATGCAATGATTTATTTGCAACAGAACGCATTCATAGGGACATGAGATGCTTAATCCGCTTTATTGGAATCCAATGTCGTCTGCATACAAATGACACAAAGTTTACGACCTTATCCAGTGAGACATAAATCTTGAGTATAAGTTTCATATTACTTTAATTTCGACCTCCTCTATTCCTCTAAGTTGGTGGGAAAGATCAAAATGCTCGGTATCGGGCCGCATTTATTTATTTAGGCTTTCTCTTATTGTTGTACGGACTATAATATAATTGACTGAATGTTGCAATAAAATGACCACGAAATCCTATTTTTTAATAAGCAAAAAAATGTTCAATAAAGTTAATGAATAAAATTTGAATTTTTATATTTATAAGACTATTTCGCGACTTCAGCGACGAACAATTTACAATTGAAGTAATTAATGTAGATGTCGTGCTACTACGATATCAAATAAACTATAATTCTAAGACTGAATGCAGATAAGTTATAAGTACATAAACAGTGTTCAATGAAAAATCTCTCAATACATGGTATCGTTGGCCAAGCGATTGCACAAAATTACAACATAAGTATTTGCAGAGATGATTAGTGCTACTTAGAATATTATTGCTTAATCATGACCATTTATCATTGATATATTTACCACAGCACACAGCTTTGGTCCCCGCGGTTCATTTTGGAGCCTGCGGGGCATTTCCAGACTCGAGAAAATTCTGCATCGTTGCCAAGCGTTCCGAGGGTTCGGAATCGACCGGGCGAGTGTCCGTCGCTACGCAGCTGTCTCATGATGCTGGATTCAGTCCTGCTCTCGCACCATAACTGTGAATAAAATCAATGTTTTTGCAAATTACATTTTTAAATCGTGAGACAGATCATTAAATCGTTAGACATATTTAAACTATTAAATCTTTACAGAGGAAGATCATTATCGGATCACGGATCTTGCACGACGGGACAACATCAGTGTGCTAGATATTGATGTGTCTGAAGTTTTTAATAAATTGAAAAGATTGAATCCGAATAATTCAGAGGGCCAAGATAAGCTACATCTGAGAGTTTTACTGAACTTTCACCGATAATCGCCGAGCCTTTGGCTCTAATTTTCCAAAAGTCCCTTGATGAGAGTAAGCTACCGTCAGCCTGGAAGAAAGCACAAGTAACACCCTTATTTAAGAAGGGCGACAAGAGTAAACCAAGCAACTACCGGCCAATCAGCCTGACGAGTATTGTTTGTAAAATACTTGAGTCACTGATCCGTGAGAAGATAATGGAACACCTGCAAACGAATGATCTTTTATCGGACTGTGAACATGGGTTTGTTCCTGGCCGATCGTGTTCACCGAAATTATTGGCATGTCTTAAGGACTGGACGAAAGCTATAGAATCTAGATGATGGAAAGGACGTCGACGTAGTTTACTTGGATATGGCGAAAGCGATCGACTCTGTACCACATGAGCGACTTCTTAGCAAACTGGAAGCCCTCGGTATAAAGGCTGTTGAGCATTATCTAGTGTTGATCAAAACAATGTAACCGTTTTGCAGAAGTCTGTGCTGGAGAAGGATCTGGGTGTGAACGTTGACAGTGAGCTGAGGTTCTCGAGGCACATTGAAATCCAGGTTAATAAGGCTAACAGTATTCTGGGTCTGATTGGAAGATCATTTGAATTTCTGGACGCTCCGACAATGAAAACATTATTTGTGGCACTCGTAAAACCACACCTTGAGTTTTGCAACGTTGCCTGGTCCCCCAAACTTGAGAAAGACAAGAAACTTATTGAAGGTGTTTTGAGGAGAGCAACTTCGAGTCGTCCCAGGATTTAAGGATGTGGTTTATGAGCAACGCCTGGAGAGGATGAACATTCCTAGTATGGCACATAGGAGAACTCGTGGCGGCCTTATAGAAACTTGCAAATACACTCATGGCTATTACCTGAAAGAGAATATTTATTCGCGCTATATACAGAGGAGATCGCCAGGGGCCATCAGTTTAAAATAAATAAACCAAGGTGTAAAACTACTGCGAGGCGGCACTTCTTCTCTCATCGCGTGGTTGATCGGTGGAACGGCCTGCCAGCGGAGATTGCCAAGGAGACAACGTTGAACGCCTTCAAGAATCGACTTGATTCGGTTATGCGTAGTTATATGTACAGCGTGGAAGTGCCTCCCATAAGAATGCGACAACTGGACAATCGAAACAGGCGCTCTTAGGGAGCGCGCGTTGCCGAAATTTTTGGACGTGACGTGGCCATGTGGCCATTTTTAAAGCAGTGTTTGAATGCAAGTCAACGAAACTCGACGACATGCCCTCGTCGGCCTAATCATCTGCGCCGATGCATGCTATGATATGCTATGATAACCGTCGGAAGCAAGTATATAATTAAGGGTTAATGAAATAAATTCAAAAGAAGCCATAAGCGCTTCGTAACTTTTGCGTAGTGGGCTAGGTCAAAATCTCTGTCCCTATTTATTTACGAGTAATCTTGAATCAATTCATTACGTTTGCAAACTCGAGGTAGAAGAGCTGTTCTGAGGTAAACTCGTCGAGGCCGGGCAACGCGGGCTCGACGCCGTTGCGGTCCACGTAGCGCTGGTAGGCGAGGAACGCCTCGCGAATTCCACCGTTGTCGGCTATGTTCTCTCCAAGGGTTTGTTGACCGTCAACCTGTGTTCAAAAATACGCTCTATTCTATCCCACGGTACCGAATCTCATATCGCAGTAAAATAATTAGAATGCGGCATGAAAGCGCATAAATTTCAAAATTTTATCATTTAAAAATCTATGTTTCTAATTTTTGATGAGTACGGAAAGCTATTGAGAGACTACGACTTATTTAAAAATAAATTCAATCGTGAGAAGATTTGCTCTGACCATGACTGTGGGGTCGGCCACCTCAGGAGGGTGGAAGGCATCGTACTGGTCGACGAAGCACTGGGCGCGCTCGTTGAAAGCCTGTATGGACTCCTGACTCCACCACAGCGCCAGGTTTCCGTCCTTGTCATAATTTCTTCCTGCAAAGAAAGGATACATGCATTAGATAACGGAAACCATAAACCATTCATCTGCAGAAGATGCTTTAAGAAGATTTCTAAACGGGTGAGAATTTAATTTCTCGCAATTTACGATCGATATCTTCTACTCAGAATCTGTACAATAGGTGTCATCGCTCTTATTCAAAGTGCTTTCAACATAACGTACTCAGCTCCTTCTGTGAAGTAATGTATGCGTTGCTTGACTCTTAAACATCGCCTTCAAATGCACCTGAATTATCGAAGCCGTGTGTAAGCTCGTGGCCGATGATCATGCCGATGCCCCCGTAGTTGAGGGCGGCAAGGGAGTTGTGTTGGTAGAACGGAATCTGCAGGATACCCGCCAAGATCGCTGTGTGGTGCAAGAGTTTTGTGATAGACCGTGATAAGTTCAAAAAAATTATTTCCTTATTCATAACTTATTTAATATTAGTTATTAATATATGTTTGAAGACCTGCGGAGTTAACAATTTAATGAAATTTTGAATATTATTTACGTACATCATTTTACTAAGGAGCTCGGAGAAATTCATAGTGATGTTCATTTACTCAACAGTAGTCTTTGCATATGTGATTTGTGACATAAATTATATTGCCGTTGAATTTATAATTTGGTTCTAAACTACAAAGAGTTTTGCAGAGGGTTCTAAACTGGAGTTGTTCACAGGGTTATAAATAAACTACACTTAGTTGTCCAGAGGGTACTAAACTATACTGAGTTGTTCAGAGGGTTCAAAACTACACTTAGTATAGTTCAGATGGTTCTAAACCACGAGTTGTTCAGAGGGTTCTACGTATATAGATTTAAGTTTTGAATAAAAATCCTGCAAAAAATTTCCGATCATACAAAAACATCATTGAAATAAGAATACTTAGCAGTATGCGTGAATGTGAAGCCTCTCACACAAACTCATGAGAAAGTCAAGTTTTCAATCATACTCATACATACTTATAGAGTTGGTCGTAGGATAGTAGAAGGCGTTGACCACCGTAGGAGGCAATATGAATCTGTTGCGTGGGATAAATTAGATTTATGCTGGTTATATGCTTTGTATTGAATCAACTAATGGCAGTGGAGCATATTTCAACGCCTTGCCAAACATGTTTTGCTAATTAATTGTTAAAATAAACGTTGTTTATTAACGTTAATTCTGCACGATTACAGTCTATCCGAAATTGGAATCGCAAACGTATAACAATTTTTTTCTTCATTTGACTTCTACATAATACAACATATGAAATTGTGATTTGCAACATGAAATTATATGACAAATCGTTGAGTTGACAAATGTATTTTTATTCATAATCAGAATTTTTTTCTTACATCTTTTACTAAAAAACATGCACTAACTTTGTTTGCGGTTCAGTCCTGAAGATTTCGCACTCGTAAAGCTCCATATATTGTCCAATGTGCACGAGATTACCGAACTGATCGTTAGCGACGATCTCCAACTTTCAATGGGGAAACAAAAGTGTATAATAATTCCAGATATCGGGGTTGGTATTATTACAAAAATTATGATAAATAACATATGCCGCAATATTATGTAATAATAGCGCGTATTAAATTCATAATGTAAGATCTTTGCCTAATAATAATGACTTATTTTTATTACATAAAATTTGATATTAGGTTAGAATCATTAATCATTTTACAAAATAGCATCAGTGGCTGTAATAAATTAATTGTGTGGAAGATTGTTTACGGAATTCTAGAGAAATTAAACATGATTGAAAAGCATATCAGTAGTATAGGAGTGAGCCTATCAAAATAATTAGTCTAAACAGATTAATCAAGCTTGTCGGTCATTTACACACAATATTTTTTCGAATCTTGCCCATCAAAATTAACTAATTACCCCCGAATAAAACCAGGTGATTTTCCCAAAATCTTACCCCGAATATTGACCTTTAAAATTAACCAATAACCCTCGAATAAAACCTCGTCATTTACCCACAATTTTATTCAGAATCTTGACCAGCAAAAATTTGAACGTTGTCTTTCGATCAAAAACCTGAGCATTTACCCACAATCTTACCCGAATCTTGGCCACTAAAGTCATGAGTTAACGGCCATTTACCCCGACTGACCGAGCATTCTTTAACCGTGAACTCAGGGCTTAACCTAGAGCGGCTGTGAGAAAAATACTTTTGTAGGATGTATAATTTCTAATAATGTAATCTTGAATCGGGTAAGCTGATACAGTATACTGCTGGAGTGTATCACCAGCTCAATTCATATATTTATTCAGAGCAAACGACCTTTCTCTCACGAGTCATTTTCGGAACCCCTGACAAAGCGCATTCGATTAGTTTTTGGGAATGGGTATTGGCTATTTAATATCACGCGAGTAACATTTTATAGAGAGGTGCTCATATTCATTGCGAGACATTACCACTCCGGAGAACGACCGCACCAGATCACCATTCTCATACACATGACTGACATAAGTAACAGTACATTTTTGTAAAAATTCGAGAAAAAAAAGTGATGACGGACATAATTTCTGTGTGATGACGGACATAATCTTGCCGATGAGTGGAAATTGGCAACACAGTGACACAGTGAGCAAACTTGAGCACAGCGAGCGCATAACCAATTATACTATTTGCCTGCGCTCAGCGAACGCACAACCAATTAGGTCATTACCCTGCGCTCGGCGAGCGCATCCGGCCAGCGCTGCTCCAGCCCATGGTCAGCAATAAGCACCGACCACAAGGCTACATTATTAACAGAATGCAACCGACTCAAGCCCACGCTCCAAGACCGCTGTTATCAGACGTTACCTCTGCATCACTGTACGTAATTCCAAAAGGTCAATAGACATCACCAATTCAGGGATCGAGTCACCACCCACATTCAGTATCAAGTTATATCTCAAATGTTGTGTTTTATTACCATTTTACATTTTATCAAATAGATCAAATTCAATAATTTTTCAATGTTATTTTTACTTTTGCTATATAAAATGAGAGTTGACAAATCATCTATTGTAAATCACGTGGGGAAATATACATTTGATGTGAAAATTCCTTGGATAAATTTTTTAAGTAAAATAAAAGCAAATCTTGGCAGCATGAATCACTGCAAAGTTTGTAACACAGTATTTAAAAACCTAAACAAACAAATAGAAACTCAAAAGCATCTTAAAGATATTAACAATTTGATCATATCAAATGCCTTAATTCGATGATAAATGCGTAATATGCAATCGCGAAGTTCAAAACTTAAAAAGACATGAGCAGTCAAACGTCCATGCAGAAAACGCTTAAATGATAGCTTATTAGCCAGTTATTTTTTTTTATTGTAATCTTTGCAATTTAGAAATGGATGATGTCGGAGCGCATGAAGACTCAAATGTAAATTTTAAAAATAAATTTGAATGCATGCGAGGTGATATTAAGGGGGAGGTTCACCCTAAAATTTTCGGATTTGGCATTTTCGGTTTTTAGTATCATCTTAAAGCTGACATTCTGCCCTTTCGAACGGTACCATTGCGATCCCTGTACTTGAATTTTTACTTACATGACGGCTCTTTAATATAGTTAAGATAGTTCCTTCATTAGATACAAGGTAATTAGCTGCTGAGCATTTTAAATATAGTTTCTACTTGAGTTGTGCTGCAGTTATGTGCTTAGTCTCATCTTAAAACTGACATTTTGAGCTTTTCAACGATACCGCTGCAATCCATGTAGGCGAATTTTTACGTACACGGCTGCTCTTTAAAGGGCGGCGGGGGTGGAGTTCCTTCACTAAATAGATGGGAGGTAATTCACTCGCTAAGACTACATTTATAGGTGTATCTGGCATCAAGGCTCAGTCACCCTGTTCGCTTCGTACGGAGAGGTGTACTGCAAGTCGCTGCTAGCATCCTTGAGTGGAATTAAGCTACAGAAGCCTGTAGTTTGGTCTCTATGCTACATTGAGTGACTATTTCAAGGCGCGCGGAACTTTGTCGCACTGTCCTGAAAAGTTCAACTTTTTGTCACGGAAAACCTATATCCTCCTAGAGTTTTGAAGCTACAGCGATGAGACATATACCATTCTATTTGTAAAGACCATACCTATCGAGTAACGAAGCCCCTTTTTTAGATTTGTGCATAGTTTGGATTCAAAATGGGGAGGGGAAGGGGGAGGAAATGAGAAAAATAAAAAAATTTTATATGCGTAAAAAAACTAAGGCAAAAATCGGGCTTCGTTACTCGATTGGTATGGTCTTTACAAATAGTATATGTCTCATTGCTGTAGCTTCAAAACCCTAGGAGGAGATAGATTTCTACAGTACCCCCTTTTTTGTCCGTTTTCTATGAATTTCACGTTTTCTATCAATTTTTCCAAAAAAATCACACGAACAAAAATGTCTTAGAATTCTGTTTTACATATGTGTACCAAGTTTCAGAGTGATGCGTCCGTAAACAAAAAAGTTTTTACGGAGGGTGAACCTCCCCCTTAAGAAGGCTGTGAATGATAAATGCGCAGATCATATTTATCATGATATAAGAAAGATCGATCCGAAGTTATTTCTTCAGAACATAACATCTGAAGTTATTCAAGTAATTAGGCAGTCAATTCGATAATATTAAATTACAACTGAATTTGCAAGTCGAGTTTCATAAATTAAATTAGGCAGCGAGATAATTCGTAACACCGCTTGAATAAATTCAAACAGGTTTAAATAATTGTCAAGGATTCGAATAAATTTAAATACAATTAAAGGACCATGATAATCTGAAACATAGAATTGAAGAATTTACGAACAACTCTTCTGGATGGACATTAAACAAGTTGCCAAACTTCATAATCAAAATATTTGAATACAAACGTTTAAGAAGGTCTAGATATATTTAATAATCATAAAAATTGAGACATCCTAAATACACGTTAATAACTATCAAAAACCAAGATAACATGTGCTTTAAGTAGACGGTCGTGCGCCACTTCAGCAGGGATAAAAAAATTGGTAACAGAATAACGAAAATATTAAAAGAGAAAGCCGAAGAGTTGGATTTTGCAGATATCAAATTCCCTATGAATAAAATATCGATATATTTACAAGTTTAATAATATTTCTATAAATGTATATAGCTTGATTTATTGTTTGGAGCTATGCCCACTTCGAATAAGTAAAACTAGAAATAAAGATGTGGTTCCATTATTGTTAATTACAAACGAGAATGGAAGTCATTGTGTCTTGATGAAGTCTTTAAGTCCATGTATTCATAAGGCGAGTCATAGAACCGAATATGTCATAGAACCGAATATGTAAGGCGAGTCATAGAACCATACTGCCTGCATGAATTTATACGCGAAGACCTACTTGAAAAACATAAAGATGATTGCGCTATTCACACACCTGTCATATATGTTTTTAGTGATGAGAAACTAAAATTCAAGGCCTTTCAAAAAAAGACTATCAAAAACATCCATTTGTAATTTACGCTGATTTCGAAGCATGAATTTATACGCGAAGACCTACTTGAAAAACATAAAGATGATTGCTCTATTCACACACCTGTCATATATGTTTTTAGTGATGAGAAACTAAAATTCAAGGCCTTTCAAAAGACTATCAAACATCCTTTTGTAATTTACGCTGATTTTGAATCGACATTGGTAGGATTCATGTCGACCAGTCCTAAAGTCGAAATGTACGCGGAATATGCAAAAACATGAGCCGAATAGTTTCTGTTGCTATGCTAAATGCGAAGATGAAAGGTACTCAAAATTGGAGTTATATAATGGTTGAGATGCGTCCGAAAAGTTTGCGAAATATCTAGAAAGAGGAACAAAACATGTGTGTGAGCTATTAAATCAGTATCCAAAAAAAAAATGTTCATATCAACTGAAAATATCACGAACACAAAAATGCTACAGTTTGCTATGTCTGTCATGAATAGTTTACTCAAGAAAACTATAAGGATAGAGATAACAATCACCTAACGGGAGACTATAGAGGTCCAGTGCATCTCAGGAGCATTTTTAAAATTAAAAATCCTGATTTTATTCCAATGTTTATGCATAACTTATCTAATTATGATTCACATCTAATTATCAAGGAACTAGGTAAAGTGCCAGGTCAAATAAATGTTATATCAGAAATACATAAGTTTCGCACAGACCATCAAAGTCGGGACGTATATCGATAGAAACACTGGGAGACAGCGAGACATAACTAGAGATTTAAGATTCTTAGACACTTTCAGATTCATATCTTCATCGTTGGATGCACTATCAAAAAATTTATCATATCATGTGAAATTGAAAAGATATTTTCCCTGTTGTTGTTAGTTGCAGGGTCTACTGCTCGGCGGCGCCCCGTTCAAGGCGGCGGCTCCAGGGATGATGAGGGAGCGGAGGATCCACTCCAAGGAAGTCAGAGAAAATTGGGAGTGATGCGAGGAACGCCGCTGTCGGTCCAGGGTTAGACCAGAGGTCCAGTGGGGCTAGCGAG